TGTGTTTATTTATTAGAAATCTGCCCTGTGGTGTTCCCAAGGGCTTAGTTCTTGGCCCCATTTAATGTAAACATTATAGTAATAATAATATAAGGAATACTAATATTTTTTTTGTTGTTTTATTTTTATTTTTCTATTGTTTGCTGCATCTTTCCAGCCCTTGCTTTGTTTATTAACCTTCATTCACACACTTTTTTTTTTTTTTTACACTGTCAACATCTCATCCTCCCTCGTCCTCCCTCCACTTTTTTCACCCTCCTTCAACGGGTGGGTCTGGATCTGCCTGACACTTCCAGTATCCTGTCTGACTCCGCTCTGCTGTAATCTGACATGGCTAATCTAAACTAATCTAATCTCTGTCCCCACAGATTGGAAAAATACCTGGGTCTCTCCAGCCAATTAAGAACCATCTGCACAGCAGGGCAGAACAAAGCCTGCCTCCGTGTGAGGGGTCTGGTGGAGCTGACTCAAGGCTGCTGCGCGGCTCATGCCGTCTGGATTTGGGGACCCCCAAAGTACCTGCTGCAGCAGCCCATCTGCCTGTAGCGTGGCCTGGTCCACTTTCGTCCCCAACGGCCCCACAGATTAGGGGAGGGGTGGCTTCTCTGCAGACTTTTAGCCAATTACAACACTTGTTGTCATACAATGGTTAGGTAATCACTCGAGCTGTGATTCATTATGGAGTTAAAGAGACAAATAAGCTACTTTAGCACTAGGCTGAAGTCACAAGCTTAAGGTGGTTTCCCGACAGTGCTATTGAATAAATACCAACATCGTCTGCATAGAGCAAATATCCCTATTAGCCTCAATCCTTTAAATAATTCCCTAACTTAGTTGATTATTTCAAGAGGATCACTTTTTAAAAATCAATATTTTCTTTGCCTAATATAGTAAGTGTTTTTAATACGTACTTTATGCTTTTGACATTTTTTATTCTTTCTTTTCATTCATTCAATTCTGGAGGGAGGAAGTAAAGACAAAAGGTCATGACATTTTGTGGAGAATAATATAAAAAAATCTTGGAACAGTCGTCTTGACCAGTGGGAAAATTTGGCTAAACTAAAACACAAAGCTCCAATGTTCTGCGAGCTGTTTACCCTAAAACAATATGTACCAAAATATTACAAAATAAAAACTATTGAAATAATATAATAATGAAATAATTATCTTTAACCACAGTACAATCAGTGACTGTAAATACTACGAAACAAGGTCAGAGGCCTCCTAACTGCTTATTTTCTCATTAAGACATTCTCACTTAATCACCTTAGCTAAATTAGTTTGAAATTAGCCCTCTTTTAGCTCCCTCGCTCTGTCCTCCATCTTTTACCCCCGTTGTTTCCTCATGTCGTTTTCACAGCTTTGAGGATTAGACAGATTATGTGTCTGAAACTGTTGTTATTCTCTCTCTCTCTCTCTCTCTCTCTCTCTCTTCTAAGTGTGTCTCAATCCTCGTGCATAATAGAATGCTAAAACTTCGCTCTAAAAGCTATAAGTTAACCCAGAAAAAGAAAAAAATCTGTTTCCTTCCTAACATAAATGAAAAAAAAATCTTAGAAAGTCATAGATTCTAGGAAACTTTCTAAGGCGTAAAACAGAGATCATTTACTCGTCATTACTGGAGAACAAAACCCCCACACTGTCCGGTTCACCAACCCCCTCCCCTTTTAGGATGATTATCGGAATATATCTCTTCAGATAGCCAGAGCTCCTGATTGGTCCCTTTTGAGCAACGGACAAAGCTGTCATTGGTTTTACTTAGAAAATGATGTGACCAAAACAGCACAAGATAAGATTCGTAAGAGGGTATTTATCATAAACAGCAAAATAGAAAGTGCAGCAAAATAGAAAGTGTGAGTCAAACTAGCTAACATTATAACAGTCTAAATCAGAGATAATACACTACACACAAATAAACACTTTACATTATGTTATAATATATGTAAAAGAGGAAGTTAAAGTGAGGTCAATGTAGTGGAACAGGGCCTAATAGTTAGGCTAGGACTAGCTAAGAGTTAGCCCGTTCCAGTATATAAGAAATGGCTGGAGATAGCTAGTCAAATTTAAATTTTTTGTAGTTAATGTGTGTGTATCTATATATATACATATATATGTGTATATATATAGTATGCAGTATGTATATTTGTGAAAAATATGTGTATATGTGTCAGAGAAGGAAGAAAATAGCTCAAATTACCAACAAACAAACAAAAAAAAACAAAACACTTAAACATACCCTTAGTACTTTAGCTGACTTAGCAATGATATCCAAAAAAAAAAAAAAACACGAAAACAAAAGAGTCAAATTAAACAATAGAGGTCCAGAATCACCTGATTTTAGCTAAATATGCAAACTATTGAAAACATTGGTTTATTTTTTAAAGTTGTTTTTGACGTTAACTCAACTGCTGAGTCTTGTTTTCAAAAGTTATAAGATATTTTCTCAGCAACAGACACCAATGAGATCATTGTCCGTTTCACTCTTCCTTTTTTTTTTTATGAAAGCGACCCATAATGAAAATAGTCACTGGATCATTTCGTGTCATATCTCTCACCAAAACAAGATGTTACTCAGTTACTGTAATGTAGGTTTGATTTTGACAATTTTCTCACAGCCCTTGAACTTTCATTGTATTACGGTACAGTGACTTTTCTTTCGCTAGTGTTTCCTCTTGGCTGTGTGTGTGTGAGAGACCTACACACACACACACACACACACACACACACACACACACACATACGGCTCACCAGAATAAAAACACCTCAGAGCTTTTGAAGTGTGCAGAGGTGACAGGAAATCGCTCTCATGCTGCCAGCGACACGTTTTACCACGGAGTCATTTACTTAAAGGTCACAGCTAAAAAATAAAAAAAATCAAATAAAAAAAAATCACTGATGTCATTATATTTTAATTTAAATAGCACTGGAACAAATTAAGAACATAACTGTAGCACTCTCAGACTTCAGCCACCATATGATTTCCAAAATGTTTGCTTAAGAAAAAATAATACTCAGATTAATATTACTTTACTTACTATTGTTTGTTTAGTCCCCTTAAATTATTGGCTGTTGTAAACTAAAGGACAATTTTACCCCTTTTTACCTCAAATACTGGTACATTAGCAAATAGATTAGCTGGAAATGTCCCCAACTGAAAACAGTAGCATTTTAAAACTAGCTAACAGCTAGTTTCAAAAATACAAAGAACAATACATTAACATTCCCCGGAAATTTTAATAATGGTGAAAATACCGTAAAAAATATTTTTTTAAAAACTTACACTTACATTAGTGAGTGAATTAGACCTTAAGTGCTGAACGACGACTTACACTTACATTAGTGAGTGAATTAGTGCTGAACGACGGCAGGTCCTACGTGTTCAGATACCGCCATCGTGAGGCTGAGACGGCTTAACGTTTTTACAGTGTCCCGTTCGTCTTATTGTAATTGAAATCCAACACTAATCATTTGTAGTTTCTCAATGTAACCACAGGATGTCGCCAAAGATGTTAGCTTTTCGGTACATTTATTTAAAACAACTTAGTTGTCTTTGGCTTATTTGTAGCTTCATTTTTATTTTAACGTATTTCAAATTGTTACTGACCTCCCGCTATTTCAAGCCATCTAAGATTATATTCAGGTCATTTAAAGCGTTTTTACATTTTAAGGTGCATAATGCTACCACAAGATGTCGTCGGTGATACACGGAGCTCCATTCCGATGTGTTCTGTAATGCAATAGCGACAATAAATATGGCTGCAGGGAAATGACACTTATCCGGATTGAATCAAGACCAGCTCCATTCATTAAAGTTACTGTATGTAAGCTCACACCTGATGAAATGAGGAACAGAAAAAAGGTTGGTTTTGGTTGCTAAAAAATGTGCCTGCAGACAAATATGATCGGGTGTTTTCCTTTGTGTAATAATCTGTTTAGGATGATCAGATAAACGGCAAAATATGAGAAAGTCAAGATACAAAAGAAACCCTGTAGACTGTGAACACTTTTTTATTAGTATATAAAAAATACACACAATTAAATCAATGATAACGAAATGTTTGATAGGTGTAACATTCAGGTATAAAACTGTAATTCCGTCTTTTTATAACATGACTAAGATTAGCTTTATCCAAAATAAAAATAAAATAAAAAAGGGGGGAATTATGTATAAATATTATTTTTGTATTTTAAGTTACTAAGCAATTCGATCTGTCATTTTTGGGATAGCTTATAGCAATCATAAAGCCAAACAATTTTCTAAATTTGAATTCTCCGTTGTTGTTGTTTTTGCTACAGGTTAGCCTAGCGTTAGCTTTAACCTGTACTTCTGTGTTCATATTTCGCCATCTGCTGGCTAACCAGGTGGAATCGCTAATCTTTCTGGCAACTATCCAATTTTAAATCTATTTTAGCTGACTAACAGTAAGCTAGCATGACTCAACTTTTGGTTAATTTCTGCCAATTTGTTGCTTATACCGAGCTTAAGCTCTTTGATATTTACAACTCGTTTAAATAAATTAAATTTAATATGGGCTTCGACTACATTAACACGGTATGTAGTATTTATGTGAGTGTAATATACATGTATCTTTGTATTTATGTATGCCTGGATGTACATGTATTCGTGCAGGCGCGTACTCTTGTTTGTGTGTAATACTGTAAGTGTACATGTGTAAGTACTGTATGCATGTACAATATGTGTGTATGGATGGAGCTGTGTGTGTGTGGGTGTGTGTGTGTGTGTTTGTGGGTGTAGCTTCAGCAGGGTGTAACGCACACACCTGAGCTTTGCTGCTCAGAAAATGACACAGCAGCAGCAGCAGCTGTCACCTGTCACCACGTTTATCTTCTTCTTCTTCTTCTTCTTCTTCTTCTCCTCCTCCGCCTCTGTCACTCCACAGTCCTCCACTTCCGTCCACTTTGAATGACTTCTCTTCCCGGATTTTGAAGGACTGTCGCGCGCCGCATGACTTCTCTTCCCGGATTTTGAAGGAGTCTCGCGCGCCGCGACGCACCAGAGGAACCGCAGGAGATGGCGAAGAAGTCTTTATCCAGAAAGTCCCTGAAAAGTCTCTTCTCTCGCAGCGAGGCCAACTTGAATCAGTCCGGGGTGAAGGAGGATCCGAGCTCAGGCGACGGCGAGAAAAAGAAGTTCAAGCTCTTCGGGTTCAAGAACAAGTGGAAGAGCGAGAAGGCGGTGCACGAACAGCCAGAGACGCGCAGGTATGTAGACAAGAGAAGAAGAAGAAGAAGCTGCGTGCTTCTGCAGGAGCAGCAATAGAACAACTTAATTAACAACCAATTAAATAGCCACAGAGCTAAAATGATCAGGATTTATGGCCCTTTAAACACACGATACGATTTATGACTCAGTGTTGTTTATTGTTCTGTCTTGGCGCTGTCATCTTTTAAACTTTGATGAGAAAACGTTGCTGCACTAGCTTTGCTTTGTTTTGGTTTATATATATATATTTCATTTTTGTGTGAAGGGGTATTGCAATTGCAGATTTGCTAGTGTTTGGCTAATGTTTTAGCCACTAATTTGACACTGTTTGAGACATTTGAGGCATTCGGAACTTTCTAGCACACTTGTGATCATTTGTTTTTGCTATATTTTGTTTAGCATGCTACGATATTTGTTGGATCATTTAGAGTTTCTAGAGTTTGGCTCATCCTTGATTCATACCATTTTTCCCACAGAGGGACGAATAAGGGACTTGATTATTGTGGTTCCTTGGTGTAGCAGTTAGCACGCTTGCTTTGAAAGCACAGAGTCCTTTGTGCCTTCATGGGCCAGACTGTTATAAACACAACAGTTCATACTCTCACATGTACCTCCTGGAATGCCATGTGGTATAACGGAGGTATTCTGTTGTTGGCTAATCCTTCAGCAGTTCTTGCTGTACATGTACCTGTCCTTCATAAGGAGTGAAGAGATGTGGAAATGCAGCCCCAGACTGTTACAGAGCCTCTGTGATGTTCCAAATGTTCCAACCTCTCAGAGCATAACTACAGACTGTACAACAATTACTGAAGGATGATGATCAGCTACTGTATTTATTTGTTTGAGAACAAGGAATACATATTAAATGAAATAATTGTTGAAAATCTCTTAGCCACTAACTACTCTGTATTTAGGTTTGTTCAAAGTTTGGGCTGGGGCCCAATTGTGGCTCCTGGGCAGGTTCGATGTGGGTTTTTTGTAGCTCAGGGCCATAAAGAGTATAAATTATTCTTTGTCTCAGTTTTAGCTGTTTCTATGAAAACTGCTCATTTTTGGCCATTGTGAGTTCTATTGGGCAAATCTGTTGCTATTTTTGCCATTCTTTAAATAACATTTAGCATTTTGCTACCTCCGGTCTATTAAATAGCTAAGCTTTTTTTATTTTTTCTTTCCAGTACATCATGTCTTGACTTATAAATTAGAAATGTTTGAATTTTTTTTTTTCTATGCAGTTCACCTGTTTAATTAACTCAGTCTTTTTATGTCCAAATAATTAAATGCATCATTTTTGTGAGGGGTCGACACTCTGGTCTGACTGTAACTCACTCAGTTTGCAGAATAAGCAGTATGTGTTGTGCATATACACATAGTTGGTGGTTGAACCAGGAGTCCTGGGCTGCACACACACACAGCCTCATTATCATGTGGCTGTGTGTGTTTGCACAGAGAGAAAAACAAACGAGGATTTTAACATTTTAGAAGACGCCTCTGCAAACACACACTCCCAGTCATGGCACCAGGCTGGATTTGAACCCTGTTCGCAGGACATTGCGTGTTTATGAAGAGACGTGACACCAATGTTGGGGTTTTGAAGGTTTGTTAGTGACACTGGAGAAGATCTGTCTGTTTGTTGAGAATTTAGGTTTAAGTTAGTAACGAGAGTTAAAAAGCAGTATTAAAAAGAGTAAATTATACATGATTTAAAAACATTACAAATAAGGCATTTTCATCATGGTGTTCTCAGTTCCTGGAATATCAGTGACGCTGATGCACACACTCCAGCCCCCAGGGTGCCGTGGCAGCTATAGTAAAGTTGGTTTGCATGCGATGAAAATGATGCTAATGATGCACCAAGTGACCAGACAGCATTACCTGGTTGGTTACTTTTACATTTTCTGAGATGTTAGCAAGATTGCCTGTCAAGTGTAAAACTGTTTCTCTTCACCACTGCTATTCAAACCAAGTCTATCACCTCTATGCAAAACATGTTATTGTGAGCACAGACGCCAGAGGTAACGTTAGCTACAACAGTCCTGGTACAGACACCAGAGCTAACGTTAGCTACTACAGTTGTTTTGTGCCTTCTGTTGTGTTTGCATAGTTCAGTGTGTAATTCTCTTAATATGAAAAAAATCAATTAGTGTTGTTTTATCTTGTGAACAAGATTAGAATTTTCTTTTTGCAAGATAAGAACGTTGTGCACTCATGATCAATAGGTTATCTTGTTCAGTGAGACATTATCTCAGTACAGGCAGACCTATGTGTGTGTATGTGTGTGTGTTATCTTTTGTACATATAAGAGTCAAAAAATTCCAAGACAGAAATCATAATTTGAAAGGCGTTTAATTAGAATCACCTGAACATGTTAAGATGTCTTAAAGTTCAGACCTCAGTGGAGGAGATGAGGAAGAGATTTGTAATTTTCATTTCTTTTTGTCTTAGAACTTTTTGACCTACCCCTGTCCTACCAGACTAAAACTCTGATTCTCACGTTCGGACGACTCAAACACACCCACCGTTTTAGTACCAGAGAGGTGTCAGCGATAAGAGGACCAACTAACAGTGAAACCTGCGACGCCACATTCTTTTTCTATTGACCTGAAACTACTGATCAATTATCCAGGAACCCTCAGATGTTGTTACTGCGGTGCCTGAGGTTACAGGTCGGCAGCACAGATGTTGCAACTGGGCTCGGTTTATAAATAGTTGACACTGCTCTGAGTTTCAAATGAGTCACTGTATTATTGAAACTGTCACGTGGGCCATGAAAGCTTTGTCCGAACAACTTGTTTTATATAAACAGTAGAGTCTCACAATAATAATAGCAATAACCATTAAGCTTGTCAAAACAGTGTTGCAGCTGAAATGAGCAGCTTTATTATATTGGCATCAGACTAAAGGCTTGAGGCGAAATGGCTTAGATATTCACCTTCAAAGTCTCACACTGATCTGAAAGGGGTTTTTACTGCCCCCTTACAGTAAACAGTGCAATTAAAGTTTTCACATCTGTCTGTCAACTGTCTGAGGACAATAATGTCCGTCTTGTTTGCTGTGTGAAAAGCATTGTTTTTAAAAACCCTAACAGGCAAAGGTTACGTTCTTGCAAGTTAAGCAGGTGCAAGTTAATTAGCTATAATTGGCCGACAGATATTACAAGAATCCAATCGAAGCTTAGACGGTTAGCTATGCGATTCCTCAAGTGTATCTACAGATAAACTTCAAGGCATTAAGTAAAAGTAAGTTTAACTAATAAATAGATTTTAATGACAAACTTACAGCTTAATAAATACGGATATCTCAACAAAGATATAGATTATGCTGTGTTTACCTGAAGTCTGTTGAAGGAGTATTTGGTCAGTCATTGGTGTAGTATTTGAAAAATTGTGGACTTTCCCCTCGATATTGTGTTCAGCACAAAATAAACTTTGACCTTTAACCTTCAGCGTGAGAGACCTAATCAGATGTTGTTGTGTACTTTTAGAACGTGTTGCTTTTCTTTTCAGCAGAGTTTGTTTTTACATGTTTTAAGTTGTAAACGTTCTTATAATTTCATCTGCCTCCTACTAAAGTGAAAACAGTGAATTCACCATCGTGCTGGTCGGTTGTTCTTGTGCTAATATCTCCACATCTATGGGAACATGTGGGCGTGTGACAGGCTGCAGGTCCTGAACACAGATGTGGATTTCCTACTCATTTAAATGATTTTATCAAACATTTCCAGATGCCATGTAAATATGTAAGCTTCACCGTCAGAGACTTCCTTTCATCCTCACTTTAGCATCTGTTTAGCCTCCTTTTAGCTTCTCTTTAGCATGTCTTTAGCTACTCTATCCTCAAATTAGCATTACTTTGCTTCACTGTAGCCTCACTTTTGATGAACATTTTAGCTATAATGATACCTAACTTTAATTTAACTTTAGCCTCAGTTTAACCTCATTTTAGCGTCCCTGTGGCTGCTCTGAGCTTGTTCAGTCAGTCTCATCTTTCCTGAACTTCTTTCATGAACTTCCTGTTAGCCTTTATCCAAACAGACTCCTTGATGAAGGTGTATTTAATTTCTGAGAATCAGGCGTGTCATCTAGATGTGCAAGGTTCCACACCACAATGCTTGCAATATTTTCGAAGGATCCTGTGTCTTTCACACATAAACAGTTTTCACATGGAGACACATAATCGGTTCCACAGGAACATTTTCTTATCAGGTTTGGATTTTTAGTGCTTTAGGTTTTTTTTATTATTATTTCATGCCTCTCCTGAAGGCTGTAGTGCCCCCTAGAGTACACAAACTTTATAGCATTGAAGACCACTAGCATTGAAGCACAATTTCTTTTCAATTGAGGTCATCAAAATATTCCTCCAGTCGTTTCTGCCAAGTTCCAATGCCCGTGTTCCAGTAGCAGTCTTTGGCCCAGTGGTTTGGGAGGCTATCGTAGCCCAGTTCAAACATGCGTTCCACCTGCTCCAGCAGCGGGGGCCACACAGATGAGGTGCATGTGTACACAGCAGGGTTGTGTGGTTGTAGGTGTCACGCAGAGAACAGCGACAGGCTGCAGACGGGCTCCTGTTTGCCTGTCATTTAACTTCCTGTTTGTGCAGGTGTGCAAAGGCGAAGCGCCCATTTTTTGTGTGTGTTCATAAAGAGACCTTTGTGTCATGTGTTGGACGTGATGACAGTGTTTTATTATTAAGTGCTGCGCTCAGACGCTCACCAGACCCGACATCTCAGAACGAGAGTCAGGTTTAATGGTGAAGATGACGCAGAAACTATTTTGTGTGTGAATTTTTTTTAAGCTTATTTTATTTTAAACTTATTCTCTTGGTGGTGTTTTTGAAACATGGGTTTTAAAAACAAACAACGTTAACAACGTGTTGACTGTGTTGGATGTGCAAACACTCATCAAACATTCTCTGCTGAGCCGGTTTTATTCAACATTCCCTCAGACATGATTCACTGCTTGGTTTCAATCGTGTCAATCTATGTTTTTCCGCCTTTTCAAAGATGCATTTCTACAGTGCAGTATACAGAAATGTTCATTTCTGTTGATATTGATCTAACAATGAAGTTTCTAAGTTTGTGTTTTCTGTCTCCTTCAGTACTGCAGAGTCCAACAACAAAGCACAGGAGGGAGGGGCCTGGGCAGATGGCAGCCTCTCAGACAAGAAGACCTCCATCTATGCCACAACCTCCAGGTCAAAGGTCAGTAGAGCTGGGTCACCTCTGACCCCATCACATCATCCTGATGTAGTGTAGTATCATGACGAAACATTCAAAACTTAAAACCATATGAAATCTTTATAATAATGCTGTATAATTATACTAATTTTATTTATGCTGTATAAATATACTCACACCATATAACAATCTGCTATAAATCAGTATAAATGTGCTGTAAAAATACTGTAAATATACTATTAGTATGGAAATATATTTAAATGGTCTTGTACATAACATAGAGGTACTGTACGTTGCTGTCAGCACATAAAACATACAGGTGCTTCTTGATCTCGCCGTTAGAGGGAGCCATCCGTTTACTGTGCAGCACTACTGCGGTGAAGAGGCTGTGAATGTAATCAAAAGCTGTGTTTATTTTTGTAATTTATTCATGTAATTTATTTATGAAACTATTATAATTATAAATAAAACAACTTAAGTTTCAGGTGAGTTTAATTTCAAGTCATGCTGAAGTGATTTTGTGTCATTTTCAGTTGGTTTGAGGTAAATTAAAATGCTGCAGGAAGATAATAAAATAACTAAATAATTGCCTGGAAACAAATGTATTTTCATGCATGTATTGTTCTAAATCTTTTGTTTCAGTTGGTTTGAGGTAAATTAAAATCCTGCAGGAAGATAATAAAATAACTTTAAAATTTAAATAATTTCCTGGAATTGCCACCAAAAAAATTTTCATGCATGTATTGTTATGAATCTTTTACTGCGTTAGCTCGGGATAGCTTATTAGCCTATAGATCAATTTTAGCCAAAATAAATACTTCAGTTTTTGGCTTTATAGATCAATTTTAGCCAAAATAAATATTTTGCAGTAATATAGACCACATAAAGATGGGTTTGTTAAAGTGTTGTTTTATATTTTGCTCATGTTGTCTATTCACAAAAAGTTATCAGAAATATGTTTTTGTTTTTTTTATTCACATCACCCTTCTTGGCTTACCTAATAACCAACCAGTAGCTATATTTTTTTTCTGCTGGTGCTACCCTTATTATTATTATATCTTGATCTGACAATTTATTTTTTGCTTATTTATAGCATCAACATCTGATGACATTTACAGTATGCCCTCTCACCCCCCCACACCCCCTCACACACACACACACTCAGAATTCCTGGAGTCACACCCAGGTTCGAACCTGACAGCAGTGACGGTGAACGATGTCTTTGTTTTCTTTGCTTCTTTTGTCGCCGTGACTCAACAGGAGCTTCCACGCAGATAATTTTCAAAACAGCAGAACCTCTATCTCCACACAGTCTGTCAACAATAACAACGAGCTTCCATCTGATAAGAAGAATGAACTGGTTGTGGTTACATGGAATATGTCTACAAAAGATTTTGCCACCGACATGTCATTGTTACTGGTCAGGCTAACATGCAGCTAATTTTGTTTTGGTGTTTGTTTTTTTTTGGGCCCCCCACAGTATATTGCTATTGCTGGTTAATCCAGAATAATTTATTAAATTAGCTTGTAGCGTTCATGTTCTTCACATGTTCTCTTTTTGTATTTTTAGTTTTATTGTCTCTGCTTGGTTAATAACGGCCATTGTTGTCATTCACCCTCACATTTGGCCCCCGGGGCCCTCCAGTGATTGTGTGTTGCCTCCTGCAGTTAGCTGCCATAATGAAGGCAGGATCATTTGACAACTCCTCCATTGAACCACTGGAGGTGACACAGCAGGAGGGGGCAGGGTCAGGAGATCGTGGTTTACAAGTCTTTCATTTTTTGACAGGGTGGAGCAGCGGTGAGTGTTTGGTATGAAGTGAAGGGTGTCAGCTCCTGATGTTTACAGGACGTAATCTGTGGATTTTTGTTTTAACAGGTCAATAAACTCATTCTGAGCTGTGTGTTTTAAAAAAAAAACCCCACTGAGACTCGAGTGCTGCAGACGTAAATATGGTCAGGTTTGTTAGATGATGAGGTGGTTCTTCATCTGATTTCTGCAACAGTTTATCTCTCTCTCTGTCTCTGTGTCTCTCCATCCCAGGGTAAAGAGTTCAGTTACTCAGAGTTGGACTTGCGTAAACCCAAGAGGTTCGCCACCTTCTCCTTTGGGTTCAAGAAGAAGAAAAAGAGAGACTATGACGAGAACATCTCCAAAAGCACCTTTGGTCTCAGCACTGCCATCAACGATGACCACGAGGAGGTGATGTCATAAACTCACTCTCTTTTTGGCCCGAATTTCCTTGGTAATATTTACTGCCCTGAGCTGTGACCAAAGTAGGGCCCGGGGGCCAATGGACAGGCACTTGGACGGGTTTTTTATGGCCCTCAATTTTCTTCAGATCTTTTAGCATGTCTTGCTGGACAACCAGCCAACTTTGAACAATCATTGGCTTAATTTCCATTAAGTGATTTACTTTTGACGATCCTCAAACTCCTGGTAACATTTTGTAGTTTTGATTTGTTAGTAAAATAATGACCGATCAGTTTAATAAAATGTGTTTTGCTCATGGATCTTCTTCTAGACCACCATGGACTTCAGCGACGTGGACCAGGATGAAGAAAACTCAAAGACCACCTTCAGCATGTCTCAGCCAGAACTGGACATGGTCCAGGACTTTGACGTCCCTTCTCCTCCACCTTCGGCCTCCGACCAGACATGTTCTTACTTTGCCGTCCCGGACAAGTCCGAGCCAAACCTCATCCCTGACACAGACACAGAACCACAGCAGCCTCTCGGCGACTACGACCCCTTCGACGTGGACCAGGAGGTCCCCACAGCTCCCATGGCTTCCATTCCTGAGCTGCTCCTGGATAATGACGACAAAGTGGACGCTCCCCTTGAAGAGAAGTCGTCCAAAGGTGATGACGGTATCAGCCCTGTGTTTAGTCAGATAGAAAGTAGTAGTGTTGCTGATAAGGAGGGCGCGCCTCCTCTGGTCAGAGATTCCATGGTTCACAGAGCAGCAGAAGCAGCAACTGCTGATTCAGTTGTTCCAGATCATGTGTCTGGTGATAAGGGTTTTCTGCAGGATTCTCGTATCCTCTCTGCAGAAACCACTAATAAAACATTTTCTACTCATCAGTCTGAGGTTTTTGACTCCAGAACTGATGCAGAGAAATGTGCCACAAACGTCACCGCAGCCTCGCCTGTAAGAAGCCTCTACAGCGAGAAAGTCACGTACGAAGCTCTGTACGAGTCTCTCTTCCCTCAGAGTTTCACCTCAGAGGTCATGTCGTCGCTCTCGACCCCTCCACCTCTGGTCCCCACGGAGACCAGACACCAGGAGAACCCCAAACCTGAACCTGTCCTGATCAAAACTTATGATGAAATCTACACAGAAACAAACGTGGTGCACTCTGCGCCCGTGGACGATGACGAGAGTGATTTTTCCACGGCTCAGAGCTCCACTGCTTCTGAAGAGAAGCTCTCCTACTCTGATCTGAACTTCTCCCATTCAGAGACACCATTAGAGACTTCGGGCCTCTTCCCTGACAAAGACAGGTCAGTTCTTGTGGCAGAAAACCCCGCCCCCGTCCCCACTGTGTCTGACTGCGTGACATCCCACGGGACGGATACTCAGGTTACTGACTCTAAACACAGAGTCGTCCTGGTCAGAGAGTTTGTCGCTGCTGCCGAAGAAGACACCATGCTGCCTGACTCTGTGGTTAGGAGCGAAGTGAGCGAAATGTCCAGGAGTCTGCAGGTGGAAATCGAATCGCCAGAGACTTTCTACCTGTCCTACGGCTCGGGTTACGTGGAGGAGGCCGAGGGAGCGTTGAGCCCCCCGTATCTGAGCATGGGGTCTGACGACAGCAGCGTCACGGAGGTGTACTTCAGCGCCGAGGAGGACAACGAAGAGGAAACGTTCACCGTGGACGACAGAGAGGAGAAGGGAGAGTATTCTGTTTTGGACGAGTGGAGTGAGACGAAGAGGGACGGGGGAGACGTGAAGGTGGTGATTGTGAGGGTGCGTGACCAGGTGGAGGACGGAGGTGCAAAGTTGGAGAGTGTGGAGTATCCTCTGAGGAGTGATGTGGTGAAGTGGCCGGAGATTCAGGTTGGACACAGAGAGTTGACTGAGATTATAGAAGAGGAGGAGGAGGAGGAGGAGGAGGAGGAGTTTCTGGCAGGACAGGTTGGGCAGGTGAGCACGCTTGTGGTATGCAAGGATACTCCACCCTCCCGGGAGCCACATGTGGAGGAGAGGAAGAATAAGGAGGAGTGGTCGCAGGGAGAGTGGACTATAAACGTGTCGGAATCTCAGGAACATCGTGGTCTGTGTCCCAGCCTGGAATCACAGCATTTTCCCAACGTTTGTGACAATGTTCCTCTGGAAGCACCGCCTCTGACGAACACCATCACTGTCTTATCCCAAGATTCACACGTGCACACACCTCCAGCTGTAGATGAGGGACAGGAAATGAGCCCGGAACGAGTCAAATCCGACCGCGACGTTGTCACAGAGATGCAATCAGATGCCGCACAGGCAACCGGAGACAATAGGAACCTGCAGAGTAGTGAGTGGGTGGATACGATTGCTGGGAGCGCACAGGAAAGGAGGACGCAGCAGGAACAGGTGGCAGTTGAGCTGTCAAGCCTGACGGAGGACGCACACGCAGACACTGACACCGAGGTCCGGCCAGGCCTGGAGCAGAGGTGAGTGTCAGAACTGGGTCAGAATGTGTCGTTTACTGCCTCTTTAAGCTGGATCCACAGGTTTATGGTCTGCGTTTGAGGAGCCGGACGAGGAAAGTCACAGAAACTGAAAAGTCATTGTGAGTCATTTAGCAAATTACAGTCTTTACAGCACGACAGTTGACGACTCGCCTCGCTGCTATGCAGCACGTGTCTGGTTTTAGCCAAATGTAAAGCTTGAACTGATTTATTTTGTTGCCAAAACAAAACCAAACTGCGTTCAGACGAGACCTGTCTGGTTTTACGGCGCTGACATCAGATAACACACAGATATGTGTAAAGGTTAAACATTTGCTGGGGTAAAAGGTCAGCTGATGTTTACCAACACTATAAATCCTTCCTATTGTGTTTAATACGCTGTAATTTAACTTGTCCTGATTGGCTGTTGGTATGTCTCACTCTCACATACCTGTAGGGCAGAGCAGGCAACAGGACAAATGTTCTGTAAACTGATTTTTCTTTCCTTCGGTGTTGTTTGTTTATTGCGACAATGGCTGAGTTTCGGACGTACACGACACTCACAGAGTTTACGGGAGAATGAAGCTCAGGTATGTAGGAAAAGAGAGTAGAGTTGACAGAAGAAGAAGAGAACATTAAAATGTGAACTTAACAGAGCTATACATTAAAATTACAAAACTACATTAAATAGCACTTTAAAAATTACCAGATACATTTAATTTGAATATTTGCTGCCATATGAGGCAGCATACAAAATAAAATCCAATAGTTAAATAGCTAATTTAGTTAACAATTACCTAAAAATTGATTAAACTGAACCAAACAGTGGAAATAAAATGGGAGCAAATTGAAATCCAATAGTTAAATAGCTAATTTAGCTAACAATTACCTAAAAATTGATTAAATTGAACCAAACAGTGGAAATAAAATGGGGAGAAATTAAACAGTAGCTCAGGATTAGCCAAACAAACCGTAAATAGTTCTGCAAGATAAAAAATAAAATCTATACTCAATACTGTTAAAGGTCAATCTTAGCCAAACTTATTGAATATTGATCTCAAATTCAGCCAAAATAAGCATAAGCTAATAGAAAATAGCCACATTATAGCATGTTACAGATTGTAGATTAAAAAGCTAAAACTGCAGCCATAAAACAATGGACAGATTAACCCAGAAACAGGTCAAAAATAGAGCCAACGTACAGCAATTTAATAATTAATAATCATAATTCAAATTGTTGTCTTTATTGTTCCCGCAATGTTTAATTTGTTCATCGATGAAACGAAACTATGTTCTCTTTGACCACAAGATGTCAGCAAAGGAAAGTGTTTTAGTGAACAGTCGGCAGACAAGAAATCCTCATTAAAATGTTTGAATTTTAGCCTTTCATTTTTGGCCTTTCATTTTTATTTAAATGTTTTAATTTTAAGGTTGTTTTTTTACATTTAGATGAGACGAAAAATAAAGGAACGTTTTTAGTTACACTTAAAAAGTGTAATAATCACTGGGTTGGGTTTTTGTTTTTGTTTACATTTTAGTTATTTCTCTGGCTGAATTCCTTTAAAAAATATATTTTTAGCTAAATTCTAACATACATGAAGTATTTTAAAACATTTGTCCCAAAGGTCACTACTTATCATTTGTATTACTTTTATGGCAATTATTTTTTGGCCTATTTTAATTGTTTTTTAAACGCATGTTCTAGTTTATTTAGCTATTTCTACTGTGTTATGTCTTTGTGCTAACGGTTAGCTGTTTTAAGCTTTCTTGCTCTGATTAGCCTGCTCTTATACTGTCCATTTCTGTTTATTATTATTTGTAAATAGCATTGTTAATTAAACCAGTGTCCAGGCTGATAGATTACTTTCAACATTAATAAATGAATTGTGTCTGTCGTGATCTTACTTTTCCACTGACAGAGTATGAAGTGTGTGTTTCTGGTTGAACCACTGCTCCTTTGTTTACCTTTACATTCAGTGGCCCCATGCTTGTTGTCTGACAGCTTTGTTCAGACACATGGAATGACAGACATGTGGAGAATTCTCTCTCTCTCTCTCTCTCTATCTCTCTCTCTCTCTCTACCTCTGTCTTTAAACCACACCTTGGTTTTGGCTTCAGTTCTCACCAGGAAGTCCTTACTGTTTTAAGTGCCTGACACACTGGTATTTCCCCTTGTCTGTTTGTGTAAGTGTGTGTGTCATTCTCAGATGCAGGTCGTTCATGAAACACCAAGATGATGTTCAAAGAAATAGTTCAATTCCAACCTATTTCTATATTATTCTATAATTTCTCAGTTTTTATTTTGAATTGGAATTACATAGAAGCTAATGTTCTATGTAGTTTTTACATTGTCCTACAGTGGCTTTAGTTAAAATTAGATTAGATAGAACAGATAGAAAGTGAGAAAGAAAAACTTGTAGAATTTGCTATGTTAGCTCGGGATTCCAAACATCTATGGAATTAGCCAGCGTAACTAAAACTAACTTGAAGACATTTTATTTCACAAATTGCTTTATAGTCACATAAAACAAACAAATAACGTTAAATGATTAAAAACCTTCGTGTCAGTCGCTCTATTGTTCTTCACAGCAGTGACAGATAAACCGATAAACCGTCGTCTTACAGCTGGTGTCACATGGGCAGTAAAGAAGATGTGGCCCAGATCATCTGGTCTTTATGGTCCACATGTAAGGGTCCAAATAAAAAAAAAAAAAACTTTAAATTTAACTAAATCATAAAAAAAAACAATTTTTAATTTAACTAAATCAAATGAATAATATTTTGACTTCTTATATGAGTCTAAACATTCATCATGAGCTGCTGTTCATGCCTGGATTAATAATCCAACAGGGCCCCAGACCCTCACTTTGGGAACCACTGGTCTATGCGTTTGCCAACAAAGTTGGAATCCTGCACTGTAGCTCAAACGTGTTGCACAAAGAAGTGATTATTATCATCCGAGTTAGCGTTAATGTAGTACAACAGCTCAGTAATGTTAGTTATAAGTCTGATAATTGGTGCAATCACACGCTGCTTCTGTAAACTTTATTTGACATCTGCCACAGCGGTGTCAAAGACGCTGTTGTTAACCACACCCTGGTTGCTCACAGGTGCAGTATGTCACTGTCAATCATTGACCAGTATTAAACAGTCATTCGTTTGTTTTTGTCTCTCCAGGAGCCTCGCAGCTTCCGACGATCTGCAGACAAACTCTGTGGACACGATGAATTCAGGCTACAGCAGCCTGAGCACCAAGCTGACCATAAAGCCCTCGTCCCCTCCTAAAGTCGACGAGTCCAGACTGCGCTTCCATAAGGTCTCCCTGGTCTCAGGCAGGTCGCCGGACTCTGTGGACTCCAGCGGTAAAAGCTCCAGTGTGTCCAATGGAACAGACCCTGGATCAGAGTACAGGTGGAAGAATAGATTTGAGGGAGTCTCTCAGTACAGGTGGGACCAGCAGGAGGACTCTTCAGACTCAGTGTCTCAGGAAACACCTGACGCCTCCTCCTCTGTCCTCCCTGAGGCCACGGCCTTCAAACATCTAAGCAATGCGCTCTCTGTCTCCTCCTCCTCCTCCTCCTCACATCCTTCATTAGATGATCATTCTGGCTTCAGCAGCCGCCTGAGTGACAGCAGCAGAGTTGATCTGAGCCGTGAGAGCGAGGCAGCGGGAGAGACCCACACGGAGTGGAGGAGGAGCGTGACAAGGGAGGAGGAGTCTGCTGCACCTGCAGGAGAGAGAGAAGCAGCACAGAGGGAGGAGGAGGAGGAGGAGAGGATAAAGTCACGCTGGGACGCTCTGCAGCTACCAGAGTCAGGTGTCTCCTCCAGAGACGAGGACGACGAGTCCTCAAGATTCACCGGACTATTCAAGGCCACGCTGGTGGACACGGTCTGTGAACCTGCAGGACCGCCGTCCACTCCCCCCGCCTCCCCGGACACCGACTCCCCTAACCAGTTTGATATGGACTTTCTGATGGATACCCTGAAAAACATGGGACCATCTTTCAGACCCAGGTGCGTGGGTCCAAGGGCAGCGGCTCCAGTCCTGGTTTCCTCTCTGCCCCCCATCGTGGAGGACGCTCAGAGTCCCATCACCCCGGGTCTACCCGCTGCTGTCAGCAGTCCAACGAAAAGTCTGGATACAACCGACTCTCTGAACGGAATTTACTCTCTCCCTGCTGACCTGGGACTGAAGAGGACGTTCCCCAGAGACACCCGCTCCCCGCTGGAACTGATGAAGCAAAACCAGCAGGTACAGAAGCCCCTCCCTTCACTCAGTGCCAGGTTTAAGATTTTAGGAAATTATTTTAAGTTTTTACAGCTGCATGTTTTTGTTTCTAGTTGTTTTGTTTCTTCAAAAACTCCTTGGTAACAAGAAGAAGTCTGGAAAAGCAGAGAAGAGAAAATAAATGATGAGTCAGGATTAGATTTATGTCAAGAATATAAAATACATATTTACTATATTTTAGTTAATTGTGTTCTAGTTAAAAAAAAAAGAAGAAAAGAAAAAAACTCCACAAAGCTACTGATTCCTCATGACACTTATGTAGAACTGAAAAGTTAGAAAGAATAGTTGAAAAGAAGGAGAGAGGAGAAAAGAAAAAAACTGAGAAAAGGAGGAAACAGAAGCATGAACAGGTCAAGTATTTTATATGTACATATATATTTATATATATGTACAGTCATGTTTTGCAGAACACCCATCTTGGGAAACAGAAGCATGAACAGGTCAAGTAGTTTATATTTATATATATGTACAGCCTAGTTTTTCTGCTGAGTCAGCATGTGCTCCTGTTCCTTCTTCACCTCCTTCTTCCTGACACTCCTGCAGGACCAAAGCCGAGGATCTTCCTCCTCCTCCGAGGTGACCAACGGGAACGGAACAGTTTTACCCGCCAACACTGGCTCCCGTCTGGACAACAGCATCATCTTCTCCAGCTACAGGTCACCATCCCTGGATCTCAGTGGGGAGAACGACAGAACCCATCGCTCCCTGTTCCGGAGCGGTTCCCTTCCAGAGACCGGGTCTTTGAGCGACCACGTCACTTCAGGGATGAAGGATGTCAACGACCTGGGCTCCGGGAAAGACCCGCTATCTGGGTCTCGAATCGAGCGCCTCTCCTTCCTCCTGACCTCCTCGTCCTCCCTGACCGGCACTGAAGACCTGGGAGCCCGTATGAGTCGACCTCCTCCGCCTCTGAGCTTCAGCTCCCCGTCTTCCAGCAACAGTCCCACCAGTCTACTCAGCCCCACTGGATCCATAGACCTTCACAGACCTTTCTCCACCACGTCCACGGACTCCGGAAGCTTATCCATGTTTGGACAAAGCCCGACCACCGGCATGGGTGTGGGTGGTGGGACACATCCCCTCCTGCAGAGGAGCTTCAGTAGTGAAGGTATCGTGGGTGGGCAGCAGATGTCCTTGTTCAACAACGTTCACGGAGGATCTGTGTTCCAGACCAAAGACCCAGAGCCGGATCGGAATTTGGCTTCCAAATACCGAGCCTTCCCCGATGCATATGTGAGTATAAACTTCTGGTTCTCTACGTATACTGCAATACCAGGCATACAATACAGTACATGTGTACTCCCAGCAAAGGCTTCGTGAAGGACTCTTTGTAATACTTAAATCTACGTAGTTTTCAAAGCAAATGTTGAACAGGAAAATGTCCGTCCTGTTTTCCTATCATTAGGTAAATGAGTCAAGGAGATAATTTGGGTAAAAGCCAGCGTCTGGTTCGGCCCTGGCCCCTGCTAGCTGCTGACAGTGTATGAATATTTCATGTCTGCAGTGAAAAGACGGCGCACCTGAATGGGCTTCAGTTTTGTGTTGTCAAAGTACTGCCATGGTATTTGTCAGTGGGCTTCAGTTTTGTGTTGTCAAAGTAAGAAATAAAGAAATAGAAAGATAGAAAGAAATATCGGACCAAAATATTTGCAAATATTTGAGAATAAAGAAGATTTGCTGCCGTTTGTCACTGCAAATTTAAGCTCTGTCATTATTCGGCTTAAACAACTCCCAAAGACGATCAATATGATAATAAAGCTTGATATTTACCCAAGGAGAGTTAGACGTGACACCAGAAATCAGATTGTCAGATCAACTTGTTAGCTAAAATCTGGTTCAGCTGGAAAATTTAAAAATTTGAAAATAGAAATCGCAGAGCCGGTAAAACAAGAAAGGCTGTGTGTGTTAAAAACAAACACACACACCTGAAGTCTGGATGTTACAGAATGAGCTGCAAAAAAGCTAAATGTCAGCGTTCACCAAATGTAAACTGAGTTTATATTTACAGCTACAGTCCAAAATAACAACAGTTGCCATGGCTAGGGATTAGCGATGCTGTAAATTACAAAATTATCAAACATGGCTAGCCTACTTCTGCTTAGTGTAATTTGCAGGAATTATGATAAACGTTTTACTCATTAATTTGTGACTTTCACTTGTGTGTAAGAGTCACACTAACCATTATATAAATGTATATTAAATGACTGTTTGGATGGTTGTGATATGAATCAGCCTCCACACAATGACTGTGTCCGCTCTGTTGTTCTTCACCGCAGTGACAGACAAACAGCAGGTCGTCTTACAGCTGGTGTGACATCGTATCACCTGGTCTTTGTGATTTGTTTTTAATCAGATTAAATTAAAAACAAATTTGGACTTTGGTCCAAATATTCGTCACCATCATGAGCTGCTGTTCGTGCCTGGATTAAGAGATTAACAGACATTTATTCACAACTGCAATAGCTCTATGTCCTCCAATAGGGCCCAGCCCCCCACTTTGGGAACCACAGTTGCCAATAAAGTTAGAATCCTGCATAGCAGCTCAAAAGCGTTCCGAAAGTGTTGCACAAAGAAGGGATTATTATTAGCCAAGTTAGCATTAATGTACTACAAGCAGGACAATCATGTTAGCATTATTGGCTTCAGAGGAGTTGTTTGGTTTTGTACTAATAAATTTCACTGGCAGACACGTCCTGGTCACATGATGCACACCGATGTAAAACAAGTGCGTGCACGTATGAAAACACACACACCCTTCTTCTTTGTAAGTCGTTGATGCTAATCAGGAAAAGCTAGTACCACAGTGACAATAATTGGTCTTTAAAATAGCAGTGATCTTTTCATAAAGGTTAGTGTCAGTGTTTGATGGAAATGTTTCAGGCGTCCAATCACTGTCGGGATCTCCTTGTCATAAAACAGTGTCAGACTCCTCTGAAAAAAAAAAAAGATTAAATGCTGTACCTGCAGAATCCACAGTATCAAGTGAGGCCTGAGGGGGGAGTCGGGTGGAGTTAGGGTGGAGTTGGAGCAGGCTCCTGATATGGAGGTGTTTGAAGTGAGGCTGCCGACTGCAGTTGAGACACGTCCAAAGTTCAATCAAGACGTTGGTTCTGGATTTATGATTCCGTGAGGCGTGCGGTCATGTCAGCTCCAAACAATGATTAGATACAGGAATTCTGAAAATGGGTTTTAGGCTACATCTTACTTTAAGTCAGTGTTTTTAAACCTTGGGGTCACAGCCCACGTGGGGTCACCTGGAGATCAAATTTGGGGGTCGCCTGAAATGTCTAGTAGTTGATAATTCATGATTATAAATCGAGTTCAAATGAAATGCAGCACATAAAGAACATCTGAGCCGACGCATCGTGATTGATGGCTGTGATCACATGACATCTAATCAAGTGACAGCTACGAAAATGTCTCTGGGTTGATGTCAAAATAGGATCAGAAGCCAGAAAGGTCAAGAACCACTGCTTTAAACTAGCTACGATGCTAACGTTTAGCTATTTATGTGATGATGTTTTATATTCGGAGTAACGTTTTGTTCTATTTTATTTGAAAATGTATATAACATTTTTATAAATATATGTGTATACATATAAATACGTTAAGATATGTTATGCAGAGGGTTGCGTTCTTCAGCGGTGACCGCTGCCTAGCGTCCAGCTCTCGCCTCTGTGCGGTTCTCCGTGTTTACACATCACATTCAAACCATGTTCCGCAGCGTTCTTCGTGTCGTACGCCTTCATCAGTAGCGCTTTTTTTGACCTCGGGCCAATTCAAACAGCCAAACATCAGGTCATATTTCAAACACAACCATTGTCAAACTAACTTCAGTCCATGTGAAATCAGGATTCCTTTAGTAACCACACTGGTCTGACCAATAATTACTACTACATGTTGGGTGATTATAGGTTCAAACCGTAACATCTGTTGGAAGCTGCGTTCAAATTCCCTGCTGTGAGACACAGATGGACAGGTTTGTTCACCCGACAGTCAAACTTTATACAAATCCCATTGAAGTTGCCAATAATTCTAAGATTTTATCTGGGGAGTTATTCACTCAGAGTCATACTATCAGCCAAAAGTAAATAGATAATGTTGTTTGTTGTTCTTGGCTATGAGGCAAATAGATTTTTTGGAATCTGTCATTTTTAATGTGGCTAATTCATTTAGCGATTTCATTTTTTAGCTAGATAATATTCTCTAAAATTAAATTTAAAAAAATTAAAATACATAAAAAAAAATAAAACATTTAGCTAAGTCTTTATATTAAATTAAATTTAAAAAAATTAAAATACACCAAAAAAAAAAACATTTAACTAAGTTTTTATATGGCTTTATCTATTGCCTTTTCTTCCATCTTGACACAAAGATTTAGCTTTGTTGGTTAGCCATTTTGCTAATATGTTTGTTCTTTTCGGGGACTTATAAGATTTTTTTACCAAGTACTGGTAATTTAACAAGCTGTTTTTGGACTAAATTCTATCCCAGCAACCATTGAAACTAAAACATGACGTGAACATCTCCCCTTTATTCTTGTTTGATTTAAACTAGTTCCACAGCCACCTGTCTCTTCCTGCAGAGACCAGGACCACACCTTACCTCTGAGTGATGATTAGTGAAGCTAAGTTGACAGGCGGAGATGAGGAGGTAGCACGATGAGGGGCGTGGGGGGCAGATGACTAAATATAAATATATATTTTTTTATGCTTGACCTGATCTTTCAGTTGGATCGTCTGCTTTAAAACACACTCCATCTGCAGGGTTTGGGCGTGAGTTTATATTTGGGTGCGTTTGTGTTCCCAGTTGGCACGGAGGGAACTATGTAGACATGGCATCAGTTAACTAAAGTTCAGTGATCCTGATTCAGTGGAAGAACAGAATGTTCTGCAGAAAGATTCCATGGTGGAGGATGACGTTAAACTGCAGAAAAAAAGAGTGTTAAATGTTGAATTTAATAAACAAAATGTGAAGTAAGAGAAACAAACAAACAAAAAATCTTAGTGTGAAGACAGTAGCAGTAATTAGGAGTTAATTATATTGTATTAAAAAAAAACAAGCAGATAAAGACAGAAAAACAACAAATAGAAAAAGACAATTAGAGCCAAAAGGCAAAAAAAGAAAAAAAGAAAACAAAATATAAAAATGAAGCCTCAAAAACAACTATGCAAAAAATAAATACATTTTAAAAAATAGCAAATAAAATGAACAAATAAAAATCAAAAGAAACAACAACAAACTATAAATGCTATGTTGACACATACTCTACTAAAGGTGTAATTTTATATTTATTATAAAGAATAAATTAGCGTTCAATTTGTTTATGTTTATTTGGTTTCAGATTAGCAAATAAAATAAAAGTTCCTTTTTGGTTTGGTCAAACTTTAAGATGATTTTATTTACATTAAGGACACTTTCTTAAGATGATTTTATTTACATTAAGGACATTTTACATTTTTGTTTGTTTGTTTTTTTTTACACCAGGACTTTATTTCTTTTAAGAGTTACAGCGTCACTAAAGTCCCACTGAATCCGACTGTCACTCTCTTCACCTGTTGTCTCTCAGGCCTCAGTGTAAACACACTGTATACGACACCCCACAGGTGTATGTTGCAGCGCAGGAATGTTGACATTGGCCCCGGGGCCGAGAGCTGCTGATGTGGTTGGACAGCATTGTTCAGGGTTGTGTGACAACACCAACACCTGTGGTTTCATCAGGACGTTTAAAGGGATGTTTTCAGATGTGGGTGTGTATGAGGTCATCATAGCTGCTGCAGTCGGACGTCCACGACACACAGATGTCACAGTGGGCTTTAACCTAAACCACTTGAACGATCCAATTTAAATTCCATTCAACTTTTGGTCATCTCTAGTTTCATTGTGTTTCTCTAACGTACAGTTCATTGAAAAAAAAAAAATAACGATGCAAGGAGACATGAGAACAAGGTAAATAAAATGAAAGACAAGAAAAATAACAAAATGAACAAGAAAAAAAACAGACAGCAAGAATCAAAAGAAAACAAGTTCAACTTGAACTTTTTTATTCTTAATTTGTGGTTAGCTTTTAGCTTCCTAGCCATGAGAAATTCTTTTTTTTTTATTTAAAATTTCAGACATGTTTATTTGACATGTGGGCGTATTAGAAGGTCCACAGTTTGGGCTTCAGTTGCAGACATGGTTGGTAACATGAGCCAAACTGTGGCCTGTTTACCTTCAGAGAGAGAGAGAGAGAGAGGGAGAGAGAGAGGGACGAGTGGAACTTGAGATCAAACACACACACACAGTGTGCTTTCCATGAGTGATGAGTACCATAGACATACTGCATCACCTTTCCATAACCACTAGAAATTTTGCAAATATTTTTTTTAAACATCTCAATCCTTAGCCTAACTCTAACCCAGCCCCTCACTCTAACCCAGCTCTAATCCTAATCCTTAGATTACCGTAATTGTAATCTCCAAACCTCAAACTGTAAACTTTTCACCTGCAAAAAGGTACAAAGTTCTACACAACAATAGTACTTTTGCAAAATTGAGTATGCCAGACACACTTTTCTCCTTGACATTCCCGCTCCTGTGAGTCAAAGTCAACAGAAGCTCAGACTCGGTCCAACAGGAAGTCACGGATGAAAACAGTGAGTCCTTGTTGTCCAGTGGGGGGGCGGGGGCCGTTTAAGGCTGTGAAAACACCGGTCTCCTCTTCTTCCCCCAAACCCTCTCCTCAGTGACAGAGAGGATCTTGAGAAGTTCTGCTGTTGTAGAAACAGCATCCTCTCAGCTGTGGTTTGTTTTAATCAGATTAACCTGTTCTATTGTTGCACTTGCAAAGAAGATTGTAAATGACAATGATCTTCTGAGGAACCAGGGCTGGGACTAATCGGTGGTGTCTTTTGTCAAACATATTCTTTTACCTGGAATTTTAAACTGGCTTTTCAGCTTTGTTTTTCTTGTTTGTTTGTTTTTTCAATAGCTCACCAAAGAGAAGGAACACGGAAAGCTGAATCCTCGCCCTGGAAAGGTGAGTCTACCAAAAACACCGGTGACACCGTGAACCACAGCTTTAGTATCTGGACCACAGACACAGACAAAAAAAATATAGGATACATCCTAAAAGTAAAGTTCCTAAACACACAACGTTGTGTCGGACGTAGAGACAACACCAAAACAGGACAGAGGGAGGCAGTTCCGCCTGGTGACAGGTGAGGGCGTAACCAATCAGCACGATATCAGCTAAGACTTCCTGTCACAGCATTTAGGTCAAATAATAATAATAATGTTGTGACAAGGTATGGACATCACAGGAATTCTCCTCACCGTGTGTCAGGGTTTGGTTCACAGGCTGTGGATCTGGTTTGACAACAACCACTAAGTGGACGTTTAATTCATCTCAAAATTATCCCTGAGTTTCCCTGATTTTCACCTCTTGGTGGCGTCACAAGGTGCTACAACCCTTTACCTAACTGCTTAATTAGCACTACGCTAAATGAACAGCAGGTATAATTTGTCAACACCGGAGGCAGTAGAGGTGTGTTGGCATCGTCTGTTAGCGTGTAGCAGCAGCAGACGTGACAACAGACGTCGTCCATCTCCATCGATGTTCCCATCAAACTGCGTCTCATCTCGTCTGTTTTTTTGGGTTTTTTTTTTTGTCGACTCCACTTTTTTTACTCGCCCACATCCTGTTGGTTATTACATCAAATGTCAGTCAAATGTCAGGCCTGCTGCTGCACGCTGGGACAGAGCGTGGCTTTCACTCACGCTGTGAGATTGTCCGTGAGGAATTCCTGTCGACTGAGGTGGAGCTGACATTTACACGGAGGTTCTGGATGTTCTGCTCCACCCTGGAGCTTCACACCTGAGTGGACCAGACGTGTCAGGAACTGCACGCTTTGAACCTTCTAGAACCTTTTTTCTGGTGCTTAACTATATTTAAGCAAAATGTATAATCTCCGTGAGCTACGTCTACGTCTTGGTGGACCTGAAGCTATCTTAAAGAGCACTTATGCTAACATTTAGATATTTCTATACTACTTCTTTCTTCAGCTAGTATTTGCCATGAATTTTAAATGTAGCGATACATTTTTATTTGCATATTTTGTGAAGACATTTGTTGCCTTTGTATTTCATTGTTAGTCATTTTGGCTAACTTTTAGCAAGGGTTCTACCTTTTAAGGTTTAATCTGTTTTTTTTTTTTGTTTTTTTTTCCAGATTTACATTTTTGACCGACCAGGACTGTGCGGACAGAGGATTGAGGCCCGGGGTGATGTCATCGATGCTACGTCCTGGGAGCTGCAGGAGACGATCTCCATCAGGGTGGTGCGAGGAGGGTGAGCTGTTTTCTTTACTCTCTGTGTGTGTGTGTCATCACCGTGTCGGTCAGGGAACGCAAACTCCAGTCTCCGCAGCACTGACTCTGGGACAGTTTTTCTCACCGGATGATGTTACATGCACAGGAGCAAATGACAAAATGAACCAAATTCCTTTTGGCTAAGTCTGAGTAGACTCCAGTTTCACTGTTTCCTTTATGAACACACACACACACACACACTGTCGCCAGGAAACGTCCCACTGTAAAAAGTGGATGCCACTCTGCCCCACCCTCACACACACACACACCCTCACACTCTCTCACACACACACACTTAAAGTAAATTTCTGAAACTGACAGAATTCTAAACATCCTTGGTCTGACTTTAAAGTGTGGAAATTCAAACCTGTCGTCCTCTTCCTCATGGACATGCAAATGCCATCAATAGCAGACACACCCACACACACACACACACCCACCCAGACACACACACACACTCAAGCCTGAACAGACTCTGTGCTCTGATGTGGAATGCTTCACCGAATGCGGCCAAGTGTGTGTAGTTGAACCGCAGACACTTCTCTGTTTCTCTACATCATCACCGCACCATCCTTCAAACCTCATCAAATGAACGTGGTCTTTAAGTTAAAGCCTTTTTTTTATATACATATAAACAAAAAAACCAGACGATGACATCAGCAGTGCAGCTCAGCTCATTTACTCCAGTACTGAGGCTGTGGTTCACAGTGAAGGACATTAGCAGGGTTAGCTTAGCTTAGCCAAGTCTGGGTAAAGATTGACTTTTAAAATAACATTTCGAGCTGTGATGACACCATGTGATACGTTACATGCTTGGACGTCGCTAACACAACAGTCATTGGTGGGAACAAGGTACTTAAACACCATTAGCGGACGTTAAGATGTAGCCACTGCTAACACACTGCTTCTTTGCTCCACTAATGCAATGCATATTTACTTGTCTTATCTTCTCATTACCAGATGGGTGCTTTATGAAAAGCCCAACTTTAGGGGTGAGAAAATAGCCCTGGACGAAGGAGACACAGAGCTGACATTCCCCTTCAGTCCACCAGAGGAGCAGCAGCTACAGAACGGACAGAAGGAGGAGGAGAAGGAGGAGGAGCAGACAGAAGAAAGTCAAGCACCAACCAGGAGGTTCATCATCGGCTCTCTGAGGAGAGCTGTCAGGGTACTGGCTGCTTTCACACTCGCTGTCGCCATCTAGTGTCCAAAAGAGGTTAAAACCGCAAACTTGACCATAGAGCTCCTGAATATTTTTTGATATACTTTATTATTTGAACTATACTTTGTGTTACAACCCAGACTTTAGATTATTTTTAAATGTCTTTCTATTTTTTTTTTTTTTAGAAAACTCTAACCACATTTGACTATTTTTTTGGCTAATTTGTAGGGTTTTCTTCCCTATTTTTCTTACTGAGCTAGCTATTCTCTCATGACCTATTTTCGTCTAATTTAAGAGTTGTTCTCACCCATGGCCTCACCCCAGTTCTTTTTTGGGCTCTGAAGAACTCTCTGTTTCTTCCTTCCTCAGGACTACAGCGTTCCAGAGATCAGTCTGTTCCCAGAGGAGAACGCTGAGGGAAAGAAGGTGGTTTTCAGAGACACATCTGAAGATGCCAGGATTTTTGGCTTCCCCATTAAAGCCCACTCCATCATCATTAATGCTGGGCTGTGAGTATTCAACTGTCTTTGGTAAAAAAATATATATATACATATATATATTATTATTATTACTTTTCCCTTTTTTGTATTTCTCAGCTGGCTCGTCTTTGGCCAGCCCTTCTTCCAGGGTAACCCACGTGTCCTGGAGGTTGGAGGTTACTCCACCCCTGCAGCCTGGGGTGTGGACCAGCCCTACGTGGGCTCAGTTCATCCTCTAAAAATTGTACGTACCAATAGAACGCTGACTTTTCTTTTTTTTTTCCTCTTTTGTGCTTTTGTATTTTTCCGTTGTGAGAATAAATCTTTTTGATTTTTGACACAGGGCGAACCCAAAGTGGAAAATCTGAGTGAACCAAATGTGAGAGATTTTTTATATATATATATAAATGCTTTCCAGTTGTTCAAAGGGTAATTTTCCCCTTTTTCTAAATTGTAATTTCACTCCTTTGTTGTGCAGCTGGTGATTTTTGACAAACCCTACTTCACTGGGAAATCCAGGACCATCTGCAGCAACATGAGGGACTTCATGACCAGACTGGATCAGCAGCAGACGGCCTTCATGTACAGCGTGGGGTCCATAAAGGTGCAGGGTGGAATGTGAGTGTGCCTGCGTCCATCGGTACTAAAGGACTGAAGTACAAATCGGTTCCCAGTCCTTATTCCTTCCTTTTGTCTCTCTCCTACTGCAGCTGGGTGGGCTACGAGAAGGAGGGGTTCCGAGGTCACCAGTACCTGCTGGAGGAGGGCGAGTACCAGGACTGGAGAGTGTGGGGGGGGCACAATTCTGAGCTGCGTTCTGTCAGACTCATCAAGGCGGTGAGTTTCTCTGAGGAGACGGAGAAGAAGAGCTGAGCTTGGATGTCATTTTAAAATGTTTGGGGAACATATTAGACCAGGAAGGAACCAATAAATAAATCAAAAACACATTCACCAACTCTAAAAACCTTTTCCTTGTCCCTGCTCTCCGTCTGTCAGGACCTGAGCGACCCCATGATGGTCATGTGTGAACATCCATAAGAAGCGCAGGAGGGCATCCAGGAGGAGAACACCTTCCAGGTGACCGAGGCGATCCCTGACGTGGAGCTGTTTGGCTACAAGACGTTGACTCGCTCCATCCACGTACTGAGCGGAGCGTGAGTTCACGGCATGAACACACACACACTCACACACACACATACATCTAACCTGGTGTCCCGTCCACTCCTCAGGTGGGTGGCCTACTCTCACGTGGACTTCTCTGGAGATCAGTTCATCTTGGAGAAAGGTTTCTACAACAACTGTGCCGACTGGGGCTCCCAGGACCCTCGCGTCTGCTCAGTGCAGCCAATTCTTCTGGTGAGAAACTCCAGAGATCACAGCGTTACGTAGTCCGTCACCAGACGATTCCTGTTTCTCATTTGTCTTTTTTTTTTTTTTCTCATCTTTTAGGCTCCACGTTTCGACAGCGGCACAAGGAATGAGGTAAACGTATTTCCTCGGCTCTTCATGTTACTGTGAATGTTGTCTCCATAAAGAGTTTTTTTTAAAAACTCTCTCTGTTTTGTCAGATCGTTCTGTACTCAGAACCAGATTTTCAAGGTCGGACTCAGGTCTTTGTCAAGAACCAGGATGTAGTGACGGATCGATTCAGGACCAAGTCCTGTCGAGTGGCCACAGGAAGGTAAATGTACCACAGATATGACTGCATGTGCTGCCATCTGCTGGTGTTTTTAGTGGTCTGCACCTGCTAAAAATCCAAGTCTTTAGAGGCAAAACCTTTGAAAATAAAGTCAAAATAAATTACTATATATATATGTATATAAAAAAAATAATAACAATCATATTTTTGTATTTTTACTTCATTAATTTGTCTAATTCCCTGAAACCTAACAAGTGAAACCTGTTGTGTTCCAGCTGGGTTCTCTATGAGAAGGAACAGTTTTCTGGGGGCTTGTATGTTCTCCAGGAAGGTGACTACCCCAACCTGGTCAGTATGGGATGTTCTGACAGCTGCATGATCCGATCCCTGAAGGCCATACCGACGGTAGGACAGCTCTGGGTCTGAATGTCCAATGAAGATGTTCCGTTTTTTTCACGTTGGTCTTTTGTCTCCGTTCTTCGTTAGACGTTCTGTGTTCCCTCACTCTCCATGTTCGGCCTGGAGTGTCTGGAGGGCAGAGAGGTCACCACGGACACGGAGATGAGCAGTCTGACCGCAGAGGGTTTCAACAACCACATCCTGTCTGTCAGAGTCAACACTGGCAGGGACTTTCTTTTTCTTTTTTTTTTCAAAAATGTTAAAAATGTTCTATTGTTTAGTCCATTAAGTCCATCCTATTGTTTAGTCCATTAAGGCTTAAGAGTATTTTATTAATTTTATTTAAGTCCTATTCATAATTTAATTTTTGTTTCAACATATATTAGAAATATTCATAGAAAAAAATTATAAATATAGTCGTCTCTGCTGTGTTTCAAATCAAAACATTTTTTGCTGATTTTTTTGCAGTTGGGTGCTGTGCGAGTACAGTAACTATAGGGGGCGACAAATCCTACTGGAATCTATTGAAATCACCAACTGGCCAAAGTTCAGCTCGATGAACACGGTTGGCTCGGTGTATCCGGTCAGACAGGTAGGTCCGACTGTAACTACAGCATCTTTAACCCTGTACGAACGAAGATAACAAAAAAAAAACAACAACTCACTGCTGTTCTGTGTGTTCTGCAGAAGCGACACCTCTTCCGCATCAAGAACACAGATAGGGGTCTGTACATGTCAGTTCAGGGGGGAGTGGAGGAGATGAAGTCTGGACGGATAGTCTTGTCGGCAGAGGTGGAGCCCATGAGCGACATTTGGTTTTACCAGGACGGCTTGATCAAGAACAAGGCAAGAAAAATGATTTAATCTGTGATGATTTTTTTTTTACAGCTTTGGGGTTTTAAGCACATTGCTGCCACCTTCTGGTCTAGCTTTGGAAGTGCAGGCCCTTTCAGCATAGCTCCCATAGACGTAGCATTTTAAAAAACACCTTTAAGCTTTTAGCTGTTCTCTCGTTTTCTTAAGATGTACATCTTATATATATATATTTTTTAAATTGAGCTGACCACTAACTTTTACATCTACCTTGTTTTTACCCTTTCATAGTTGTCACCCGTCATGAGTCTTCAAGTCATGGGCAACGTAGAACCCGGTTCTAAGGTGGTTCTTTGGCAGGAGACTCGACAGCCAATCCAGAGCTGGACGGCACAGATGAGTGGCCTCATCACCAGCCTCACCTTCCCCGGCATGGTTCTGGATGTCAAAGGTATTTAAAAAAATGTGGTGTTGCACAATTAGATGAAAAAAAAAAATTGTTAAAATTTGATCGAACAGAATAAATATTCAAAGTGCTATAAAGCCTAGAAAAAAATCGTACATCACGCTAACAGCGGTGTCATTATATCTTCAGGAGGAAAGACGTACGATAAGGACCACGTGGTGATCATGCCAGAGAATGACGAGCGGCCCAGCCAACAGTGGGCGCTAGAGTTGCTATAAAAATCATTTTGTTAATTTTCACACCATTCAACTGTGCCTTTACTTGCACTACCTTACCAAAAAATATTTACACAGACTAAACAATGTCCTTCCATATACTATAATTTTTTTTAGTTTTTTTTAAAGTACTACTCTAAGCTTTGCATCATTATGTAAACGTTATCATACTTGACCATCTGGATAAATTGGTATTTGTCCAGATGGTCAGGAAAATATTTTAAATTGTCCTCGTTATTCTGGAATATATTCGAGGCAAAAAAAAAAACATCTGTTGAGTTGCAAAAGTGACCCCCGCCCCCAGTGTTGATCCTCATAGGCCGAACAGTTTTCATAACTCGCACTGCATAAATTCTTAGAAATTTGAATTTTTTTCCTTTTTAATTTTCCACTAAATGGGATTATAACATCTAACAATTCATGTTCCTCTGAGGTAAAAAAAAAAAATAAAAAATTGACGAAAAATTTGCTAAAATGAAGCTCGAAAAATTGGTTATGTTGCATGGTTCCACTTTTATAGTTATTTTTTATCTGAATAAAGTAAATACAAAACATTATAGTAACGTTGACACCTGCTTTGCAATCTTCCAGTGTCTTCGATTCCAAGTTTTCGCAAAAGTCCCGACTGTTTTTCTTTTCCTGACCTGAATCATTTTGTTTACAAAGTACAAAAAGGCCGTTTTCCCTGTTTTTTTTCCTTTATCATTTTGTTTACAAAGTACAAAAAGGACGTTTTGCTTCGAACTTGTGCAAACTGTTTTTTTTTCCTTCTGCTGCAAACGATCGACTTTGGCCAAGAGACTTTTAGCGCACACGACCTTTAGTACCTTATGACTTTTTAAAGCTATTTTTATATGTTGTAAATGTTTGCGTATCACTGTATGTTCTGTGGGGAATGTCGTAAACACAGAGTTTGTCGCATAGCATGACAGTGCAATGAAATGGGTTCTCGTTCGTTCAGTTACTGATGAATTACACTGTTTGTTTGTTTTTTTCATTGTTGTTCATTTGTTGTTGAATTTTCATATAAAAACCTGTCACCTCATCACAGATTGTTAATATTTGATACTAAACGTAACATCATGTAAAGGGGAGCGGTTTTTAAAAATGTTAAAAAAAGACAAAAATAAAACATTTTTACATCAATAAAATGCAGAACGTGTACTTTTTTTGACTAATACTACTAAGACATGGACAAAGTATTTCACAAGGAATACAGGATAAAAATCAACTGTTCCATTAGTTTTTTTTCTGACACTACTTTTCTTGATCTGTTTTTCACAGATTTGCTGAAATTTAAGGATGAAACAACAGCGATGATTTGATCAAACAAAGTGTTGGTTTTGCCACATCCTGGTTTTGCCGGATGCACTAATACACCAACCACACACCACGTTGGTACGAACTGTACTTCAGGTGGGTTTTTTTTGTTTGTTTTGTTTTTTTTGTTCTGTACTTGTTTTGTTGAAAGTGGACCAGTGAGCTGAAAACACCTTTGTTTGCTGTTTCCAGACTCAGGCTCATATTTCACTGTTCTCTGCAGGTGAGGAGCTGAGCCGCAGGAGGAGACCGGATCAGAATCAGGTACTGTCTTCATTTCTACTCTGTTTTACTACATTAAAATGACTCCTTTATCCAACAACTTAGTAAAAAAGGTTTGATTTTATACTACATTAAAATGACTCCTTTATCCATTTTCTGTAACAACTTGATTTTGTGACAGGTCAAATCAGGTCAAACTTTGAATCCGGGAGGAGGACAAGACCTTCTGTTAGAAACGTAGTGGAGCCGTCAGACTAATCTCTGCTCAAAACAATTTTTTTTTACCACCAAAAACTTCATAAACTTTAATTTAATTTGTGAGAACCCTTCGTTGGTTGCTCCTTTTCTCTGGTGTGAATCTCTCAGTGACGTTTCTGACTCTCATATTTTTGAATTTACTGCTTTCCTCTCCTAATCCTAATCCTTTGGCCAAATCTTTTTTTCTTTTAAATCCACAGCCTTCAGCTGTTTGAGAGACAAACTTGACTTTCAGGATTCTGTGTTTGCCTTTACTGGTATTGCAGTGGTTATTTTGTCGGAGCGGCCGTCGGAGAAACCACACCTTTGTTTGCGGCTCTTGAAGAAACTGGGCGGCGATTGGTTCGGAGCTGTAACCATAGCGGTGAAGGGAGGGTGTGGCGTAGTAAAGGTTACACTGATCCACCGTGTGGAACGGTGTCAACACTCTTCTAAAGCTGAGTTTCTCCGTTACAGGTAGGAAAAATACAATTTAATTCATGCACAATATCTTTTTAATATTGTACATGAAGTGTTCATTTATGTTGTGTATTACAGGTGAAGACAATGGACACTGATTATTCAAAACCTCATGTGAGTAAATAAGTTTGGTTTTGTTTATTTTTCAGTAGAGTTTAGAGCTGAAGATAATGAAACAACAACACAAGCAGTAAGAACCTGCATACTTTATCTTATCACTACTCTAAAGTGGTTAAGTACTGCAGGTGGGAATGCAGTACTATTGTAATATTGTAATATTCACCTGATTTAACCCCAACTCCTGAAATACCTCAGCACAAAAGATAGGTGGGAATGCAGTACTATTGTAATATTCACCTGATTTAACCTCAACTCCTGAAATACCTCCACGCAAAAGATCATTAAAAATTGTAATTATAATGAAATGGTTATAGAAGTGATTAAAGGAAATTATGGACAAACTATTGAAACATTAGCATCAAATGACTGGACAATAGCTGTAGCCAAGAAATGGCTATAGCTAGCCCAAAATCTGATCAAGAAAGGGGCAGATTATTAGTAAAATCTAGCATATTAGTAGCTTTAATTGGCTAAATACATAAGATGAAACAAAAATAAAAATTAGCCACAAAAATGATTTAATATGAATACAGAAATTGTCAAAGTGCAGCTAAAGTAGTTTGAGCTAGTGTCAGCCAGATAAACCAGCTGAACATCCAGTTAATCAGATGCTATTGCTTTTGCAGAACATGTGCTGGGGAACCCTGGGAACTGTGAGACCCTTCCCCAACTTCCACCCGGACAGAGACACGATGGACCTGCAGGTGGCACTGCAGAAGAAAGGTGAATCTGTCGTAGTAGGATCATCCCGATAGTGTTTTATTTACATGTAAATCTTGTGTCTGTATCTGTTCAGACACTTTGACGCTGGTGAGAATCCTGACCAATCGCTGCAATGCTCAGAGACAAGTCATCGTTAACACTTTTGAGGAGTTAACGCAAAAGGTAAGGACGACATTTTTTTATGTTGAATCACTTTAGAAACCGGCCTTAGAAGCAAAAACATGAAATTGTTTTAATGACCACAAAAGATAGAATGAATATGTCCCCAACATGTAGCAAAGATTAAAAATATAACTATATATATCCTCTTAAGCTAGAAGTATAAAAGTTCATCCTGAAGCTCTGATAGAAGTCTCTGTGAGTCACACCAGCACTGTGTGTGTGTTTACGACGACGCAGTGTTTACTGATTAAATGCTAGCAACACTAACATCTTTGAACGCACCCTTGTTTAAGTAGGTAACAGCAGTGAACTCTGGGAAAAAAATGTTACAGTGCACTACAAAGACAGGGTTTGGTCCAGACAGAGGTGGATTAATGATTAACTTCTTATCATGTTAAAGGTGTATCTATAAGCAAGTATGTAACTGTAACTGTTGTTTTCTTCTTGTAAATTTAAGCCTAATTTTCTTGAACTAATTCTATTACTATTTCTTTATTATCTATTTCTCCGCTGAGTTTTTTGTTGTTGTTTTTTTTTTGCTAAATGTTAGCGAATGGTTAGCTAATTGGCTAACTTTAAGCTATGGTATAGATGCAATGGTGTAGATGTTTTATTCAACAGCTAAACTCACTAGTCAGTGACAGTGGAGTTAGCAAAGCTAGCATTAGCCTTAGTAACACACACACACACACACACACACACGTGGTGTTGCAGGAACTGTCCGCTGGTTTGAAGAAAGCTCTCAGTGGAGATCTGGAGCAGCTGATGCTGGAGCTGCTGATGTCACCGGTGGAGCACGATGCCAACAGGTTGCAGCAGAGCATGGTGGTGAGTGGTTGCCACGACAACCATTTGAGCAAGATCCCAGTTTCCGAATTCTGCAGGAACGGCGTTTGTGTGTTTGGCAGGGTTTAGGCACGGACGAGGAGACGCTGATGGAAATCCTCTGCACAAAATCTGGGAAAAAGCTGCAGGAAATTTACAGCGCGTACAGTCAACGTAAAGAGGAGTGCCAAATGATGATTTTAAAATAAAATAAAATGAAAAAAAACATAATTAAAAGTAATTTTAGATTTTCTCTTTTCCAGTGTATAAGAAGGATCTGGAGAAGGAGCTGAAAGGAGAAACCAGTGGAGACTTTGGAAAGCTAGTTGTGGCGTTGCTAAATGTAACTGAGCTAAGCTAGTTTTAATCTCATGAACTGAAGAAAAAAATTTTACAGAGTTTTCTTTTATTTGTTTGTTTGGCTAAATGTAACTGAGCTAAGCTAGTTTAAATCTCATGAACTGAAGAAAAAAAAAAATTTTTTTTATTATTTCTTTTATTTGTTTATTTAAAAAAAATCTTCTCTCTCTTCCTACAGAAACAAGTCATGGTTGGATATGTTCAAAGAGACACTGAGGTGTGTGTTGGTACATTTTTGCAGCTAAAAGCAAAATTTTAGCATTTTTCCTAGAGATTTTATTATTATTTATTGTTGTTTTTTATTATTTGTTATTTACTATTATTAATTATTATGTTCCTGTGTAATGTTTAATTCATTTGAGGCTACGTTTGAACTTCTTTTAGATTATCTTTTAGCTACTGTAGCAATATCATTTATATTGGCTGTTTGCTAACCCTTTGGCTAAAATAGGCTAATTATTTTTTTTCTTCGCAGGTACTGTGTGAAACACTCAAGGCCAAAAAAGTGGATCCAGGTCCGTGGATCACCATCCTGACCACCAGAACCTCAGAACATCTCAACAAAGGTGAGATGCTGAATCGCGACGTTTGTTGTTTTACATCATTTCCTGTTCCCCGTCTCTGTGATTGACGTCTGACATGTGAGAGTTTCCTCTGACGACGTCAGTGTTTTTTGGAGTGGAGATCGAGAGCAGACAGACCGTGGAGGAGGTGGTGGAGAAGAGGTTCTCAGGAGACCTTCGACTGGGCCTCAAGGTGTTAGGTCAGTGTTAGAAGATGACACAACTACAACTATAACTACTATAACTATAACTATAACTATAACTCTAACTACTATAACTATAACTGAACTCAGTTTCCTGTTTCCTGACAGTTCAGTGTATCAAGAACTCTGATCAGTACCTGGCCAAGAGACTGAGCAGCATGAAGGTAAATACTGTCAAGAACACACCTACTGTGTTGTACTACACTACTACAAATACCATTACTAATCTATCTATCTATCTATCTATCCATCCATCCATCCATCTATCTATCCATCTATCCATCCATCTATCCATCCATCTATCCATCCATCTATCCATCCATCTATCCATCCATCCATCTATCTATCCATCTATCCATCCACCCATCCATCCATCCCTCCATCTAGCCATCTATCCATCCATCCATCTATCTATCCATCTATCCATCTATCCATCCACCCATCCATCTATCCATCTATCTATCCATCTATCCATCCAGCCATCCATCCATCCATCCATCGATCCATTTATCCATTTATCAATCAATCAATCACTGCTATCACTTTATTACTTCCACTCCTACTCCAACTAATACCACTACAACTTCTACTTCTACTTCTATTTCCTGTTCCCTCACCGAGTGTTTCCTCTTCCCTCAGACTTCGCTGGTTCATGGAATCCTGGTGTCTCACTCGGAGGAAGACCTGCTGTGTATCAGAGCTGCCTTCCTCAAATTAACAGGCACTTCTCTGTACACAACCCTGCAGGTCAGTTCATGACTCATGACTATGTACAGAATACAGAACAGCCATCATCCTCCCATTGTCTGAAAGGAGAAGTTAACTGCAAACGCCCACGTTTTTCCCACAGAAACATTTCAAAGGAGACCACCTCCAGGCTCTGCTGGCCCTCTGTCGGTCAGAGGACTAGGTCAGGTCTTCAACCACAACCTCTCTCACAGGGAACTTAATCAATCAGATCTGAACAGAGATAATGACTGATGTATGAATGGACGTCAATAAACAAATGCATGTTGTATAATTCATGACCAGGTTCTTGTTTTTATGATTTTAATTTGTATTAATTTGAATTTATTAGCAAAAGACAAGACAAGTAGCGTGTCGATTGTCCCAATCAGTTGTTTTGAACTGTTGCAGGAACGTCTCCCACTGGGGGGCGCCAGATCACCTCAGGGAAGGCTTGACGTGAGGAAAAAGGAAGGTGGATGCGACAGCAGCATGAATTTTGATGATGAATTTTGATTGACCAGTCATGGTAACTTGCCTCTGTTGGTTGCTGGCAAACTGTTGCCGACAAATCCTTGTAGTGACAGATTGCAGTGTGGTTGTCAAATATCTGGAGACCCGTGCACTTGATGAGCCAAATACCTGCGGCTCACCAACAACGAACCAAGAAAGAGGCTACAGACAACAGGAGAGAGGGCGTGACTGCCGAGCCTCCACCGTGCAGGGCGGAGACCTGGGTGGTAGTTATCATCGTCGGGCCTGTTGGGTTGGTGCTGTTTGTAGTTAAACTGGGAGTTCTGGTGGAGACACTGGGCAGGAGGGTTGAAGCTGTAGCGGCAGGAGTGTCAGAGGCTGGGGAGTGCGAGAAGAAGGAGGAGGAGGAGGAGGAGGAAGTTGGAGAGACGGTTGTTCTGATAGCAGTTGTTTGAGCATCTGTAGCTGTGGTTGTAGTTGTTGGGTTGTCAGTTGTAGTTGTTGGGTTGTCAGTTGTAGTTGTTGGGTTTTCAGTTGTCGTCGTTGGGTAGGCAGATGTCGTCGTAGGGTAGGCAAATGTAGTCGTAGGGTAGGCAGATGTTGTCGTAGGATAGGCAGATGTCGTCGTAGGGGAGGCAGATGTCGTCGTAGGGGAGGCAGATGTCGTCGTAGGATAGGCAGATGTTGTCGTAGGGTAGGCAGATGTCGTTGTAGGGTAGGAGGGTGTTGTCGTAGGGGAGGCAGATGTCGTCGTAGGATAGGCAGATGTTGTCGTAGGGTAGGCAGATGGCGTCGTAGGGTAGGCAAATGTAGTCGTAGGGTAGGCAGATGTCGTTGTAGGGTAAGAGGGTGTAGTCGTAGGTGTAGAGATGGAGGTGTACGTGGTATAATGTACTTGGCTCTGTTCAGGAGTATTGGGGAGAAAACTGCGGTCAGTGTACTCATACTCATCACAAAATCTTAAACGAATCTTCTGGTCAGAAGTTGTTTTTACGTAATGCACAGACAACACTTTCCATGGCTATTAAAAAAACCCATTTATTCATATATTAATTTTTAGAATTAATTATAATATATTTATTTATATCTATATTTAAGAACCATCATATATCCTTTTTTTTCATTTTTTTTTTCAACGTCATTACCATTAAGGTCAAACACACATTTACACCCAAGGACAATTTTTAATGTTTGAATCTAAATTCTATACACCACCAATAACTTACTGTAATATATCCTGTCAGAGGAACAACATTAACACATATATTCTTTAAGAAATATATATTTTTTATTATAAAACAGATTTACATATATCTATATATGTATATATATACAGTAGATGTATGTCATATGTGTATATATATATGCGCTAAATATATATGGCTTTATAAATATATATTTTATGTCTATAAAATATATATAGAGACATATATGCAATAAATATATTCATATATTTAATTCATATATATATATATGCATTAAAAACCTACTGAATATGGTTGTATTTCTCTCTTAAATATTTCTCTCTCTAGACGTTTGATGTTATGTGTTTTCATAGTTACCTCGACTAAAGTGAGCAGAGCCACAGAGAAAAGTCTGGAAAGCAGAGCTGGAGTCTCCATGGCAGAGATGTTGGTGGAAAAATGTAAAATCTCACAGCCAGCCAGCCAGCCAGAAAAAAAGTCTTCCGTAAAATTGAGCAAAAACTTTTCTGCATTGGCTTTTATACACAGCGCCAAAGACGTCAGTGTGTATTAATGACGTACTGCACCTTTACGGAGCAGTAGTGAATACAGCAGTAGGATGGAGCTGGAGGGCAGAGACTGGGATGTTGGATGGAAATGTACGTTTTAAATGAGAAGTTCTCATTTTGTTCTCAGTTGTTGTTCCTGCCATTCATTTATTTGAATACTTCCTTTATTTATTAAATTATTAAACACAAGTATATTATATTACATAGAGACAGGACAGGTTTCGTGAAAGTATCCAATCTCTCCTTGAAGTTAATAAGTTAGCGACTTGGTGAAGCTAACCACTGGTTAATTTTTAACTCCTTAATATTTTGACTCAATTTCCTCATTTATGTGATCTTAATCTTTAAGCATGAAGGTCAGACCACGGTGAAAACAAAAACAAAAAACAAGGTGTGTGGCGTTCATGGACCTGCTGACCGAAGGAATGTTGACGAAACATGAAGCTAAGCTACGATTGGTTAGCTTCTGTAACCAAATATTGATTATCTGAATGCAGAGTAGCTGGAATTTGCACAATTTGTGTGAATGTTGAAAGTGAAAAATGTATCTGTGCCAATTTTCTCTGATTTTCTAATGAACTTTCAACTATGTCAGCTAATCTATAGCTACAGTTTGATCAGCTAGCTGCCACTCTTCAGTCCCATCCTTACATTCTTTGTTTTTAGGAAGTCTGCTGAAGGTTTGTGCGTGTTCCTTTATTTCCTTCCTTCTTCCTCATTCATCTTCGAGCCAAACAGATTCATCAGTAACAGCAGAAGTTCTTCTGTTGCCCTTCTTTAGTATTGAAAATATTTTCTCATAATTTAACAGGATTTTTAAAAATAATAATAATAATAATTTTCTGTATTTTATTCACCGTTTTCTACCTTAAAAATTAATTAAAAGTTCTATTTCCTTTTACCACTAGAGGGAGCCAAAGTACAACCAATCGCAGAAGGCCTGATAGTTTTTTCCTTCTTTTTTTAAAATTAAATTATGTAACTGCCTACATTTACAATCTATTTTTATATCCATATTTGAATATCCGTAGCCTCTTTGTAGTTGTTGTGTTTGCATTTATTTAAAACCATACTGCTATGGTTATCTTGTTTGGAGAGATGAGAGAGTTGTTGTCTCTAAGTTGGTTGTTGGATGAGTTAATGAGATATCTTCCTTTTTCTGATGAACAGAAAAAGGTCTTCCTCATAATGACACGAACACAACACATTTGATAAGTTCACTATTTTGCATACCAAACTGAGCAACCAATGGACATGTGTTGTTTACAAATGGCACATAGTGTACAATATACCCTGAAATGCACCTCAGAGAGCAGTGATACTCAACGTAAAGCCCAGAGCGAGTCGGTCAGTGTCTGCAGCTGCAAACTCTGAAAAAAAAAATAATTAAAAAAATCAAATAAATATCCCACAAGTGGGTTCTGCTGTTTCCACGAATTGCCCAATTTTGCAACAGAGGGAACACCTGGAACTGCTATGAATTTAATCAAATATAAATACGTTTTTGCATTATGAAACACCCCCTGTAGGAGGTGCTGGAAACTGCACCTTCTACAGCCATTTCCTATTTAACCACGTAATCGTGTATTTTAGCTTCAATTTAAAAAAACGTAGTTTGAAAATGTTCCAAAAGTGAGTCTCCTATTGTGTCCCCCATGCTGCTATATACTGCCACCTACTGGAGTAAGGAAGTAGCTACTTTTCAAGAAAGTAGTAAAAAAAACCACTACACCAGAATAACTGACAGGGTCACTTTTACATGATTATATTTTTATTAGTAAATATCTGCCTGTTGCCCCTGTTAAAGACATGCACTATAAGACAAACAGGCCTCCAGGGGGCGCTCACTGCCAGAGTGCCTGCAGGACTAAAGCTCCACCTAGGAGGATCACGCAGGTGCAGACGGTGCTCTGTTTGTTCACTGGAGTCACTGTTGTCGTGATGGTGGGCCCGGCTGTGGTGGTCCCGCCTGTGGTGGTCCCGGCTGGGGTGGGCCCGGCTGGGGTGGTCCCGCCTGTGGTGGTCCCGGCTGTGGTGGTCGCGGCTGTGGTGGTCGCGGCTGTGGTGGTCGCGGCTGTGGGGGTCTGATTTAAGTGAAAGTGAAAGTGAATTATTTGTCATTGTGACACAGCACACCACCGCGCCCGGGGAGCAGCGTGTGGGGGCGGTGCCTTGCTCAGAGCACCTCAGTGGTGACTTGGCAGCTGGTGGACTCGAACCTAAAACCTTCCTGACCCACGTCTGGTTCCCTAACCACTAAGCCACCACTGCCCGTGTGTCTAGAATGTGTCTAGAAAGACGGAAAACATTAAATTGGACAAAGCGTTGTCACAGTCTTCCATGTATGTCCAAAGTCTGGCCACAGGACCCAGAAAGCGACACTAGAATTGTGTTTTTTGTCACACAAGACACGAGAATGAAATGAATCATTTAGTCTTCAGTTTAGTTTTTTTTTTTTTTTGCTACTTTTACACCCGAACTTTAATATATACTGAACTAAGCCTCTTTCTGAATAACTTTTAACTTTGTCAAGTCTAACAATTACCATATTTTACCATTTACTATTTGATAATAATTTATGTATTTTTTTTTAAATTTGTATGTAAGATACATAAAAACACCAGAATATTTTCTTTCTTTTCTTTAGTGTCACCTAAAGCTTAAATTTTAAAAATTTAAATGATATAAATAATATAATTTAATAATTAACATATTTTCAATTTTTTTGGTGAAAGTTAAAGGCAGGATTTGACTTTTGTGGTAAAATATTGTTACCTGTGAGAAGACTCCATGATGTTGCAGCAGCGCAAAGGAAACCAGAACAACCAACACCTGAGGGAACATCATTTTCTCTGTGTCCGATCTCTTTCAGTATGTTCGTCCTCTGGTGTGTCCCTACTGCCGCAGTGGTCGTGTAGAAATGTGTGGTTGTTTTTCCAGAGGCTGGTCATATACAGGTGATATTCAGATTTTTCCTGTTCTTCTCCAGGAAGTCTGACCTCAGTCCCAGCCCCTGTGATAAACCACAAATGCAAAACCACCAGTGTAGCCATGGATGGACAAAATGGACAAAACATTCTAACTGAGAGAGATGCAACGACAGACTCGGCGATTTAGGATCCGGCACTTTTATTCAGGGGACATGAAGTCTCCTAATGTCCACATTAGGACAGCAGGAGACAATATTTTACCAAAGTGTCACACAGTTCAACGTCAACATACTAACAGATTAATCAAATCTGAAGTTTGGCCAGTGATTTGACCTTTTACTTAAGTCAAACTTAAAGCTAAGTTTAAATATTTTATCATTTCTGATTTAATTTGTATTTGGGGCATGTAACTCCTAACTTTCTTGGCCTGTAGGCGGCGCTTGATACGTTTCTAAAAACCCTGTTCTGTGGTTCCTTAATGATGTCGTAATCTATGTAGACCTGGCGATTTGTGCCTGTTATCAAGCTGCTCGGCTCCACAAGCTAGCGTGTAGCTAGCTAGCGCATGCTCGTTAACAAGTTTCTTAATCTAAACAGATTTAATAACAATTGAACAGTGAATAAAAAGGGAGAAAATACATTCTAAAAGTGGATGTTTCTCTACATATCCTGTAACACAGGTCTGTGGGTCCCTGGTGAGAAGCTAATGGTGTTTGGGGGGGTTAGCATGGAAAAGTTTGGGACCCCTTGCTTTAAGAACGACATGTAGTTGTTTTTTTTTAAGTGTTGGTTTCTTTCTTTAGCCTGTTGTGCTGTAGATCAGTGTAGCCAGGCTGAACACCAGGACGTGACCGGAGCAGCCAAACAACGCTCCACTTCCTCCTCTCACTGCTGTTGTAGCCGACATGGTGTGAGAGGTGGGTGGAGCAGCGGTGGAGGCCGTGTCTCCGGGGCTGGGAGTGGGTCCAGGCCACGCTGTAGATGTTAGAGGTGAAGTAGACGGAGCAGCTGTGGGGGAGGAGGGAGGGGGGGCCAGGAGCAGGAAGGTTTTGTTAAGTATGTACTTTTGTATGTTGTATCTGTGTGTGTGTGTGTGTGTGTGTGTGCACAGTATTTACTCTCTGGTGGTGGTGTCGCAGTCGAAGGTCGACTGGTCGTTAACGTGGTGTAGTCGAGGGTCTCTGGTACATTATCTGTCTTTACAAACATGAATAATATGTTGAGATGCAAATACAAAAATTGAAATCTTACTTTGTAGAGTACGTGTGGATCTTTTGTTTTTGTTTTTTACAGTGATATAATATATTATTTATCCCCATTTCCTGAAAAAAAAACAAACAAAAAAAAACCTACGAATACAATTGAACAATTTTGACAGAAACGTACACCATTAAAGACACTGAGGGAGTAGCATGTTAGCAGAGAGATATTAACAAAATGGTGCCTCGTTGTAGTACGTAAGAGGCCTTTATATTGGGCTTGTTATCAGAGGGTCATAGGTTTGAATCCCACCTTGACTGGAGCTAGTGAGTTGAGCAAGACCCAAGTTATTTTCTCCCCAGCGAGAGGGGTTGATGGTTTAAATCCACATACACTGGTTGTGTGATTATACTTTTCATATATTTGAGTTACAGGTGCGTAGTTTCCACTGGGAAACTTAAAAAAGCTAATTGAATTTTTTAAATATTATCGTTAATTTTTTTCAACTTATTTAATAATAACTAAAACAATATTACCAACAGAATCAATAATAATAATAAATAATAATCAATAATAAATCAATACTATTTTGCACATTCAAAACAGTTTTTCAATCTCATTCATGGGCCATTGACTCTGAACAGGAAGAGCCTCTAAAAGTTTCCACTCACTGATTGACCTTCAGGGACAAATGAAAGTACGAGAAAAGGGGTTTGAAAAGAATATAATAAATATCCCTGTTCTATCCTTATCTGCAGCCGAAAAACTTCACCTGGCTACTGTTTCGTAACTATCTTCAAAACCAGGTAAAGTTTTTCCTGCAGCACCTCACTGTTTTTCCATGCAAAGTTTTGAGCATGTGCTGTTGGAGCGTGAAGTATGACGCATTTGCATACATCTGTGGAACAATACACTATGTGATGTTTTTCCGTGACTTCCCTCAGGAGTCAGGAATAAACCTCCGACTTTGACAAAATGTCTTTGAGAGTTCACGAAAAGTATATATTGATATATTTAATTGTATTTAATACCTCTTATAAAAAATAATGATTAGTTACTTAGTTCAATTTATCCTCCGCTGACTCTGGTGTGTTAAAACAGATGAGTTTAGTTAGCAAATAAAAAAAAAGTACAAATGAAGCTGAAGAATAAGTCAAAATGTCTGAACTAATTAAAACTTGGCAGCTATAAATGAACTGAGATGTTGGAGTTCTACACTGCTTTTCTACTCATTTTGTAAACACATTTCATGCATATGTTATTGCATTTTATTATCGTTTTAATATGTCTAAATTGCGTCTGACAAAAATAAAAAATAATAGCTCGAAGCTAGCTCTGATATCAGTTAACAAAAAGCCTAAAAATAACCAAAATGAAAATACACTGTATCTAAATGTTAGCTAATGAGGAACAGGAAAATAGAAAAAGTTTCACAGCTAATGAGGAACAGGAAAATAGAAAAATCCAAGTTTCACAGTACAGTAGGAAATAAAGCTAAAAAAAAAATAGCTAGCAGCATAGCTAAAAGTAAATAGACAAAAATTAGTGAAGTTGTTTAAAAAAACATAGCTAGCAGCATAGCTAAATGTAGATAGACAAAAATGAGTGAAGTTGTGCTAAAAGGTAGCTGAAAAATAACCATGGAGCAAAATGCTAACCCAGAGATGGGGATGGGCTTTTATAAATCTATCTAAGCATATACATTTTAAGACCCACACTGCAGTATAAAGAAGTATTTTGTAAACACTGCAAACATCTAACATCTGTAAAAATGTACAGGAAGTGAGTGATAATTAAATAAATCCCACTTCTTTCTGTTCCTGTCCCCTGGGATTTTTTTTGTTTTTGTTTTTGTTTTTGTTTTTGTTTTTCTCAGGAACTTGACCAATTTGACTGTAACCACAGTGAGAGGGAAGAGCCTCACAGCTATGACATAACCTCCCATTGTTTATATTTTTAAATATCTCATGCATTCACTCACCTCTGTGCTGCCCAATAACATGAAGGTCAGAGTCAGACGGAGAAACAGCATTACTGACGTCTTCATCTCAGCCTCCAGCCCTTGGTCTTCACTGTTATCATCTTCACCAACCCGAGCGTCTGCCTTTATATACGCCACCGGCCTGCTGATAACTGTACAACTACAGAAACACATGAGCAGAGGAAATAAAAAAAACCCTCTTAAGCATTCGTTCATTCTCTACCAAGGTCCCAGGGGGCACGCCCCCAATTTTGGGAACCATCAAATTACTTAACCTCCAGTCTGGATGTTTTTGGGCATTGGGAGTGAGCCCAGGTAAACATCAGGGCCTCGAACTCGTTCTTTCCTGGCTGTAAGGCAGGACTGGAACTCACCCATCTTCAGCGTGACTCCTATCTGATGTGATCATTCCCAAAGTTTTGGTTGAGGTGAAGTTGGAATGAGAACGACGTCCAGTGTCAATCTCACAGTCAAACTGATTTATCCACAACACAAAGTTTGGTTAAACAGTATGTGAATATAAACTTGACATGTTTTTGTTCTTATATTTCTTAAATAAAATGTGGCACAAAATAGAAATTCTCTAGGGACTAGTGTGATTTTTAAAAATTTTTTTTACATCTATGTCTAATTAAGTATGGCTATTTTTCTTTAATTATTTCATTATTCTGCAAAGAATTACTTACTGAACAAATCAGCCAGTGCTCAAACGAAACTTTTAATCATCGTATAAACCATGATTAAAGCACAGACAGAAACTCATAAACTATGGAATGTGTGGAACACAGTGTTGAGTGTAAAGTCTGTAGGAGTTTCCTGATAAGAAAAGAATTTTGTTTTACTTTTATTGTGTCACATTCCAGATAGCAGGTATGGTTGAGCAAATAACTTGGTGAACTTTTGATATTTGTAGAAGGCATATGTAGAATATATGAAACATGTCTTTGGGTAATATTTATATTATGCTAAGAACAAAATACAAGATGTAAAAATGCTTCTATATCTTTTTCCAATCAAAAATGTCACGACCTCATTTGACCATTTTTTACACCAGGTAAAAAATGCATCGTTATTTACATATTTCATTATACAAACTCTGTCCATCCCCGTGTTACAATGATAATAAAGACTATAATAACTATAATAATAAATCCTTGTAGTCAATCATCAGCTTTATATTATCGACATAATCTAAAAGAAATCCTGCAACACTGCTGCCGTCTGGCGGTGGGAGTGATTTATGTTTCTTTCAGGAAGTGACGCAATGAAAGCGGTAAAGCGCTAAGGCAAAACAATATGAAATGAAGAGGCGACAAGCGATTCCAATATGTGGCATTTAAACTTATAAAGGATACTTTTGCTACAACCGCCGACTTTTCGTGGTTTTAATACAGACGTTACCCCAAAGACCTTTGAGAACCAGGTATGTTTGTTTCCCATTTGTATGTTTTTTTATTAGCATGCTAGCGCTAGGCACTTAGCTTTTTTTTTCATTGTGTTTTGTTCATCGTTAGCTTAGCCAGGGAGCTGCTCAAATCAGTTTCGGTCCCGGCTTGTCGCCGGCTTTAAAAACAGTGTAAAACGGCTGAAAAGATAACTAACTTGTTACTTGTCCAGAGACTGAATTATTTGACTATAAAATCGTGATATATATATTGCGACCAAATATGTAATTTCTCCGTCAGAGATTCAAACTTTATTATGTATTTATTATTATCTCATGCAGAGTCAGTTAATATGCAATACATCATTCATACTTTTACCACTAGGCTGTAAAAACATTTATTACACTACTTCTAACACTTGTTATTGGCTTGCTGGATGTTGCGGGGGAGGACGAGACCGATGAGAAGCTAAATCAGGTGCAGGCTGCCTCTTTAATCTGTCTTCAAACGGACATTTAACTGATAAGGACATTGTTTTAAACGTAGCTATTTATCCCGTATGTTCACTTGTTCACTTGCTGCTTGGGTTTATTCACAAATTGTCAATACATGTCATTATTATTATCAATAAATGTTTAGTAATTCTATTGCAAAATATCTGCCCATAAGCCTTGAAAGTGGGCGACATACAAAGATTGCATAACTATATTTTCTCGCAGTTTAGCCCTTGTCCTCTCCGTTGTGATTTAAAAAAATGTTTATATCTCATTTAAGATTTATGTTTCCGTCATGTATTAGAGAACATTAATGAGCCAATTAAATTTTACCCAACCACTGAGGATGTTATCCCCTTTTTCATCTAGTTGAAAAATGATTTTATTAATTAATAAACATACCTAGGTTATACTTGATTTATTTCAGAGTATAAAACTGTTCCCTCAAACTCACACCACCATCTCCACCTTCATCCACTCAGAGTTCTAGAACAATGGCAGCTTCCTTACCTCCCAAACCAGCAATGACAGGGATCCCTCCACAGCAGCAGCCTCACCTGCCCCCCAACCCTGCCTCAGCCCAGGGTCAGCAGCCCATGGCCCCTCAGGGAGCGTTGAGAGAGATCTCCCCCGTGTTCCTCTGTCGCATCGGACAAGAGACGGTCCAGGACATTGTTACTCGCACGATGGAGATCTTCCAGATCACACGAGCCACGCAGGTAAGAGAAGACATCAGACGTGTTAGTCTGTCAGCCTGTCGTGTTTATCTCTGATGTTGTGTGAAACCAGACTAATAGGAGATCTGTGATTGGTCCATGTAGCTTCCCAATGGTGTGACTCAGAACCAGGCCATGTACCAGGACCGTTTTATGAAGCTGCAGGAACACCTCCGGCAGCTCGCTCTGCTCTTCAGGAAACTCCGGCTGCTGTACGAACGCTGTGTAGAGATGACAGCTGACCTGCAGGAGGATCCAGGAGAGGTCAACAAGAAGCATTTCATTCACTGAAACGCACACTTGTGTTTACCATGTATTTTAATGTTGTGGAGGAATTGTGTTATTTATTTAAACCGTTGTCTCTCTGTTCATTTTTCCTTTGTTGTCCTTTGTTCCCACAAGTGGAGAGATTTTCAAAAAAAATTCCTTTGTTCCCACAAGTGGAGAGATTTAAAAAAAAAAAAGATTCCATGTTTTTCTTCTGTGTCTACAGCTTGTTCCATATGTTGGTGAGGAGCTGGTGACTGTCAGAGTGGAGCCCTGTAATCCTGCTCTCCTCCAGGAGAGACAACAGGTTCTTGAGGTGTGTCCGTGATTATTTGCCAGTTTTTGTTAACAAACTCACTTTTGTGAAAATGTTTAATGTGTTTGCCGATTAAGTCTTTCAACAACATATTTTTTTAAATCAGGAAAATGGGATTATTCCAATTCCCTCAAAGAAAATATTTAAATTTCCGACTCCTGACATGAGGCAGACTCTTTTTTTATAATTGCAACAAAAAGCCTCTAGATGGCGGTGCTGACCTTGGCTACTCTGCTGCGGCAGCCGTAGAACCGGGTATTTTTAACAAATATATGCTACAAGACACAGTATATTGTACTGTCTTTGATTTTTTATTTTTTTTAACTTTTATTGGAAATTGCTTGATATTTGTAGTTGGAAACTTTAATTATAATCATAACAATGGTGACAATGATGATGGTAATGGTGATGATTTGACAGCTATAATAAAAAATAATAATTATGATGATAAAAAATTAAAGATGTTTATGACACAATTATAATATTATGGATGTTGATGGTGATACTGAGATGATGTGCAATTATTAATGATGCTCATGGTGACATTGTTAACAAAAGTGAAGCTATTAAAATTAATTGGTTTAATTCACTCACATCAGTTTGCAGCCGTTAAACCTGCTCCAGTCCTCCAGCAGCTCTTGTCTGTCTTCTGTACTGATTCCAATCGTTGGGTTTTCATCCACAGAAGGTGCGTCAGAAGAACCAGGAAATGAAGGTGCTGATGGACCAAATGAGGAACCTGCTGTGGGACGTCACCGCCATGCTAACGCTCAGGAAATGACCGGCCTTCAGATCCCAGATCAGTGACAGAGACATAAAGTGAGATTGCACCTGGTGAAATGTGGGAATTTTTCTTGGATTCATGTTGGATCTTCTTCCTTCTTATTCCTCCTCCTCCTCCTCCTCCTCCACCTATAGCCTGAACACCACACATGATCCCCCCGCCCCCACTTCACTTACAACCTTTGAAAATATCACAACACAAAAAACAGGAGAGGTATTAGATTAAAATTAAAAAGGGGTCATCCTTTAATTTGAGTCCAAGTCGGGGCTAAATTAGTTTCAACCTAAAAACACTTTAGAAATGACCCAGCTGTCGGTTCTGTTCAGTTGAATAAGTTAGGATTCTCTGTTTTCCCACCCTTTGAATAATGAGCCGGTACCTGTCTGGCCTCAGGTGAAAAACAAGGGAAAAATCTTTTGAAAGAAAAAAAAGAGAGATGTTTTTTACCTTCAGGCTCAGCCTCGAAACCCCAGACAGATTTGAACTCAGTCTGGACGACTTTCACAGGAAGCACAGATGCTCCAAAGACTGTTTTACAAAAGGAGCATTTGCACTTATTCTGCTCTGCCGGTTGTAAAACACCACGCTTTTAGAATTCAGATGAGCTTCTTGGCAGCTGTGAATCTCGGGTGCTTTGTCTATATTTCTGTATAAGTGTGTGTGTGTGCGTGTGTGAGAGCATGTTCTTATCGACACAAGTTTTAAGTGTCACACAGCGCATCTGTTTAGCCTGAAGGGGTTTTTTTTTTATACCTTGCCGGTCTGTGAATTTATTTTTGTACATTAAGGGACAAATGTTAGGTCTCCTGGGTCCATTCTTTTTTGAATAAAATACACTTAAGACAAGGGTTTGCATTTGAGTATGCTTGAAAAGCCAGTGTTGTTTTTTCAAGGGGTTTTGATTACCTTGAATTTTGCATAAAGTGTAAAAATGTCCTGCCGTGTTTGTCATGTCCCCTGTCTGACAGCAGGTGGCTCCAAATGATAACTAAGTCACTTAAGAAATTGCTTCGAGTTAGCTTAAAGTAACTAAAAGCTAGTAAGTATATTTACCAAAAATGGTTGGGAAAAACTTAGCTAACAGGTAGCCTTAAAAAAGAATTAAAGTAGTAGGACACTAAGACTGACGATTGGCAAAACACAACTAAGGTTTACTCAGGAAGAAACAAAATAACCAGAGGTTAGGCTGTTAAAGATGTTAGCATCTTTGTTACCGCATTAATAAATTATTCATAAAATATATATAACCTTTAGAATAGGTGCTATGTATTTATACATACCATGTAAAGATTTTTGTAAACATACCTTGTTACTTTACATTTTATTCTAACCTATTTGAATTAAAGACGGTTAATGAAGATGTCTTTGTATTTTAACTTTGCCAAAAAGCGTTTAAAAGGTGTTCCAAAAAATGTGTGATTCACCAAAGATTTCTACTGCCTACTGTTAAAGAAAGTCTTCTACATTTAGAATTGACATTTGCAAAGTGGAATGTATTTATTCCAGCGCTATTGCAGAGTCGTGTCTACCCACGCATAATGAAGCTTATTCTGACCTTGACATTTGTTTTTGTCTGTCTTAATGCACAGAGCTGCTCATTATACTCCAGTCCTTCAGTAAAGCCTCAGTCAAGAGCAGGGGAATTATGTAAGAGATATAAATACAAGTGTCTTTGCTGTTTAAACACTGAAGTTGAAAAAAAAAATGGATTTTTGGTTTGTAAGTCAGGACATGTTTGATCCCAGAGATTAACGGTGAATCCATCAGTGAGAAGTGCTCACCTCAGCTGGGTTCTGTTTACACAACAGAGACATCGCTTATGGCAATTATGGAGAAAGAAGAAGAAAAAAAAAAGAGTTATTATTTTGGCTGCTGAAATTGTGCAGAGGATATTCCTTCAAAGTCACCCGAGAATTGGCTCAAAGTTTATAAAAATGAAGTTGAGAAACAATGTTTCTAAAACAGTTTCGTGCGAACAACTGATCAAGAAAATTGGAGTTAACTTTATGCGTCATTATTTGGTTTTGAGGAACAAATGGATCGAATTTAAAAAAGAAAGTGAATTGTGGTTAAAATCAAGAGTTTAATTGGATTTTGAATTTTTTTTTTACGGCCTGCAAATGCCTGTTCAATAAGGCCATACTTGTGTAGACCACTGTATATATAAGGAATGAATGTAGTCATTAACACAAAAGTAAAGATCAAGTCTCACATTGGACTGTCCACCTGTCAATCACACAGTGATGATAAAATAACACAAGAACTCAGCATTTCTTTCCCAGAATTTGCATTTACAAATACTTTTTAATTTTATTTCAATTTTTACAGTTAGAATTCTGGTGCGAAATCATCTGCTTTCTTGGCCTTGGTCCCTGCACAATAACTGGGAGACACATCCACCGATGGAGTGCATGGCACAGATACACTTCTCTTCTGGTGCTTCAGGCACAAAACTGACAAATTCCTTCTTTTACTGTCACCACAGTAGCACTTGTTCACATGTTCACACATTGTCTGATAAGAGACCTATTCAAGAGCTCTTCCAAGATCGGTTGTCTTGGAAATAGGAGAATTATTTGGCCCCTCCTTTTTTTTGTCGTTAAATAAACCTAGTCCAGAACAGTCCACCAGGGTCTGTCTGATGATTGTACCGCGTCCAAGATGTAGACCACGTAGCCCACATCTCGACATTTCTTGAGGTACGTCTTCTTGAGGGCCATCGTTTGGAGCACTTGTCTTTCTAAAACAGGCCACAAAACTCGACCGGATTTCACGCCCTTTCCAGGTCTTTGTATTTCTTCCGCAGGACAGATACTTGGTCTTTGAAAAGCACAGGGTCCAACCGGAATTGAGAGTGGACCAGCGGCATGTAGCCAAACCAGTTGGCAAAGGTGTTGATGCACTCCTGACGCTGGTTAAAGTGCTCCGGGTTGGCCCAGGGGACGCTCTTAGTACCCTTGAAACAAATAAAACCCACATTTGTTAGCCGTCCAGTCTTGTGCTGATATTGCAGCAGACCAAATTTGAATGCAGTGCCACCTACCTGTGGGCTTGGTAACTCTTTGTACTGCTTCCTTTGAGCCACTTTGATGGGTGGCAGGTGGGTCACAGCAGAGACCAGGAAGTTCATGAGGATGTCCTCGCAGTTGGAGGTTCGATCCACCAGGGTGCGCAGAGACTGGGGCAGGTAGTGGGAGAACAGATGGTGGTAGTACCTGAGGGGCAGATGGAGGTGACATACAGTGAAGGTTAACGTTAAATAGCTTCATATGTCCACAACTAAGCGAAAGGATTTGTTTGGGGTTAGCAGCCCAGAACCATATATCTAAATATGACTGGACTACCATTCATGGTTATACATGGTGTGTATTTATTTTCTGACTTTATTATTTTTGCTGGACTAGCTTTTAGCTCTTTTGGGCTGAGTTCTATTGTTTTTTTAATTTAATTTATTAATATAAACGTTAAAATTAGCTATTTCATTTTAACTTCGCCATATCTTAGCTAGGTTTTGTGATATTGTTAATATAATATTATGATGTTGTGATTTTTCGGTTTGTTTATATCAGGCCAGTGTTTTCCGTGGCGAGGGGGCCGTCATAAGCGTTCATTTACGTTCATTAGCTTCGGCTTAACGGTGTGCTAAATTTGGACTGATGCAAAAATATCAGCATCGTACACTGCTCTAACGCCACGGCCAAAAAAAAAAAAAAAAAAAACAAAAACCCAGACTAAAAA